TCATCCTATTTCTTTTACTAACTCCTATGTGATTAAGATCAACAATATCTCCACAACTCCAAGTCAAAATGAGTAACATCGCATTAGCATACAAAATTTAGGAATTTATTTTTTTATTTTTTAGAAAAAGGCACCTAAAATAAGGAGGGTCTCTACCTGAAAACTATGTAAAAGGGGTAAAAAACAAACAAACGGAAAATATAACAAGGGAAAAAATTTCTTTATCACAACCCCAAACAACGTTATTTTGGTATTTAGAATAAAAAATACAAAAATTGAATACAGTGATTTAGGAAATTGCCATGATTTCTGTGTTGGAAATCTAGCTGCATTGTGTAGTGATTTACGGACAGACTATGACAAAGGTAGAGTTTTACGGAGAGACTAGATATTACTATTCACAAGCCATGATCCACCAATCAAGTTTGGATGGAGATTCATTCTTTTGTCTTTTTAATGCAAATTCTGGTTTGTTTGTGTTGGGTTTAATATGCTATTTTCACTTAAGCCCAATAACTTTAGTGAGAGTGAGCCCAAAGTCTAATTTTAACCAATAAAGCTTAGGGCTAGTTTTGGATTGGGCAGAGTATATAAACTCTCTTTCTTCCTAGTGCCGCCTAGGGTTACAGACATCAGAAACATAAAGAGGCAGACATTCATCATCTGAACGGTTGCCCACACGACTCCCTGATCCCCTTGAGTCATAGCCTGGAAGATCAACCGTAGAGCGGATTTTGCTACCGTTCGTGGTGCGTTGCTGCAGATCGTGAGGCTTGAGAAGGTGAACTGAACGTGAGGAATCATCACGCTCGCTTCTTCACCCCAGGTAATCAAAGCGGTGTTCTTCACTCCTCATCGCATCAGTACGATGCGTTTTTCTGATGATATATCTTCAATTGGTATCAGAGCCGGATTGTGATGGGAATTTAGATCAGCTTTGATTTATTTTTTTTATATTTTTTTATGTGATTTATGAAAATATGGCACCTTTATTCTGTATCTGTTATTTATATTCATGTTGATTCTTTATAGTTCTTTTCCATAAAAGTTTAAATTTTAATCGGTAAAAATGTTTTAATCTATGGTTAGGGTCTCTCGTGTATTTCTCGATTTGTAACAAGGAGGCATCCTATATGATTAGGTTTCCTCCTTGCTGTTTTTATTTATTTTCAGAATTTCTATGTATTTTTCCAATATTTTGTAAAAGTTCAAGATCGAGAAACCACGAGGAAGATGCGCAGCCAGCACTGTCAGATACTTTTCGAGGACTTCCCCTGGAGTTTCGGCCTGAGTTGACTTCGGGTGACGGCGCGGCAGACCTGACGGCTAGGGTTCCTCTTTTGCGTCCTAGGGTTTTTTGCCAAAGGATTGGGTCTTTGGGCTTTTAGGCCCATGGAAACTCTAAAGGGGCTTAAGACAGATACTATGGGCTAGGCGAAAGTTGAATTCCAAAGTTGTAATATTTTATTTTTACTTTTATTTTTTTAAATTAGGAAGGCCGTGGATTAAAGTAATTAGGATTTATTATTTAATGCTTTTATTGATTGGTATGAATTATATGTGCAATTAACATGATATTTGCGATAACATGTCATATAGGATAGGAAGGTTCCATATTGTTGCATGATCACATGACATACGTGCATATTTACTATTATGTCGTTACCGACTAGTATGATAGTTTATGCGCGTTGTTTTTTATTTTAAATATTCCGGTAAAATAAAATTATGATTATCATGATTTTAGAAACAAAATCTAGATTAATGGTTATGTTGATTTCGAAAATTCATTTAATTATTATGATTTTGGTAAAATCTAGAATAATCAAATTGATTATTTTTGGAGTTTAAAATCAAGACAAATGAGTAAGAAAATTTCCTAAGAGAATTCTTTTATTTTGCGAGTAATTTGTGGGTCTACTAAAATGGTCATGTGTTAAACACACGCTGCATACCATAATCATGTATCATGATTGTGTGAAGCACATGCTGCCTATCATGACCGAATTTTAGGACCTTAATGATTTCAAAATTCAGATAAGCTAAGTGATCCACGTTCATCGGCGTTCTTACTTACATAGTTTTTGAAATCAAACAAAAGATACTCTCAATTAAATAATTCTTGGAAATTGGAAAATAATGCTTATGTTGAATAGAAGGAGATTTAAATTAAGAAATTAATTTAACCTTCAAGCGCAATATAGGACCATTAATAAAATAATCATGTGAAGTCTCATCGAATAAGCATGATTGGATTTTATTAGATTGGACCTAAATAATTATGGGAGGAGATTTAAATTAAGAAATTAATTTAACCTCCAGGAGCATTGTGGGCCTATCAATAAAATAATCATGTGAGGCCCCAACGGATAAGCATGATTGGATTTTATTGGGTCTTAATAATTTCAAAATTTTAATAAAATATTGTATGGCCCATCGTCGATAATACTAAGTTATTAAAGATAATTTTGAAATTAAACAATGAATTCGACAGGGCTTATGAAAATTCTCAAATAAAAATGTTGAATGGGTGAAGGTTTTAAAAATTAAATAATTAATTTCAAAACCTGCGGTCTCCATTTGTGGGTTTATTAGTGAAATGGTTATCGCTAAAGCCCCACCAGATAAGGATAATCAGATTTCACTAGATTAAATCTTAATAATTTCAAAATTTTAGTAAAGTATTGTACGGCCATCGTCGGCAATGCTTAGACACTAAGGATAATTTTGAAATTAAACAATGGTTAATTACATTCAACTTTGGTAAAATTGCTAACCCTCCCATCGAGGCTCTGGCAATGGCACTGAAGGCCCAAATAACAATTTTGGTTTTTACAAGTGACTTGCCCATCGTAAGCCTTGTAAAGATAAATTGAAGGATTGTTAACAATAAACAAGAGTAGTCATGAGAATCTACTTGTACTTCGTTTGTTTATTGCATTATTTGTTTGTAATTGTGTGCTTTGTATGTTTTTTTTTTTTTTTTTTTCAGAAAATGACTTCCTTCAATCCTATAGCCATGATTTTGAGACAAAAACCTCTAGATGGAACTAAATTTGAAGAATGGAATATAATTTTTTATATTGTCCTAAAAACATGAAAGCTAAAATTTGTCATGACAGTACAAGGGCCATAACAACCTGCAGAGGATGCGTCTAAGGATGCAATATTCAGATTGGAAAAGGACAAATATGGTAGTTCACTATTATGTTATTGTCGATCTTTCCAAACACTTGCATAAGCAATTGTACATGGTTAAGAGTGGAGTAAAGATGCTTCGGACTCTTAATGACATGTTTGCTGTGTCTAGCAACTCTGCTAGACAGAATGCAGTCAACGCAGTTTGTTTGTTTGTGTTGGGTTTAATATACTCTTTTCACTTAAGCCCAATAGCTTTAGTGAGAGTGAACCCAAAGTCCAATTTTAACCCATGAAGCTTACGGTTAGTTTTGGATTGGGCAGAGTATATAAACTCTTTTTCTTCCTAGTGCCACCTAGGGTTACAGACATCAGAAACACAAAGAGGCAGACGTTCATCATCTGAACGGTTGCCCACACGACTCCCTGATCCCCTTGAGTCATAGCCTGAAAGATCAACCATAGAGCGAATTTTGCTACCGTTCATGGTGCGTTGCTGCAGATCGTGAGGCTTGAGAAGGTGAACTGAACGTGAGGAATCGTCACGCTCGCTTCGTCACCCCAGGTAATCAAAGCGGTGTTCTTCACTCCTCATCGCATCAGTACGATGCGCTTTTCTAATGATATACCTTCAGTTTGAACAAAAAGGTTAACAGATTTGTGATTCCAAAATTGAATTTACACTTGATATATAGTAGTCTTAATTAAAGGCAATTTATGTTTTACTATAACTGTGTAACTCAATTTCAATTGTAAAGTTTAGGCCTTTGAACTATTCTTTGTAGAGTTCCTTTTTTTTTTGTAAGTTTGTATAGTTCCTTTTGATAGGTACGAGCTATTCTGGTGATTGGTTTGTCTTTAGTCATAGATATTAGGAATTCAAAGGAGATTTGTTGAAAGCCGAGTGTGAGAAAAAGGTTCTTTTTTTATCATTTTCTTTAAAGAAAACAGTAAAGGAGCATAGAAAATAGCAGAGTGATTTGGTTTCTTCTTGTGCTTAATTGAGGCAAGCTTCCGGGCTTTAAATTCTATCTTTGCTTGTTTTCTCTTCATTGCTTGCATGAATTGTTACTAATAGTGTTCTGTTGGTATTAGTTGAGTATTTAAACATTCATATTGTAATTGTATTATAGAGAAAATTATTTTTTGGGAGGCTTGTAAAGGAACCACTTAGACCAGATATTTTAACTCCTCATAAGTTGCAATAGATGTACAAATCATATGTATATAGCAATTAATACCATTAATTAACTCTTGTCAATCTAAGCAAACACAACATCCATTCTTGAGATGACATCCTATTCTTATTTCCTAAAGCAACTTCTAGAACACAACATAATGGTTGGCATTAGTTTTGCATTTTCTTTTTACTATTTGGTGATATTAAGGATCAGTGATTGCCCAAGAGTTGTAACTTAAGTGGCACCAAGTCTTTTTTAGGACTACTTGTTCCCACTTCCAGGCTACTTTATTTTCATTTTAGCCCACACTACCCCTCCCCACGCCAGATCTTAGAACTTCTTTATAACAAAAAAAGAGAGTAATTGCCTCCATTCTCTTTTAGTCTGAATCATTCAATAAAAACCGCATCAGATGGAAATATGTATAGATGTAAAACACAATCTCGTTACCAATTGTAACACCAGATGTGAAAATCTATATTAATCGCAGGCATGAAAAGCACAATTTAGCTACCAATGAGAAGGAAGTATATACATCAATCAAAGGACTAAACAACTTCATATATACAAGTAATCGAATGAGAAGGAAATTTACAAAACTCAAAGAACTAAACAACCTCATACAGTAATTTGAGCCACTAAAACAGTGATATCTTCTTTTTTTCCTCCCAGGTGATTACGTCATTCCCTCTGAGAAGCATCTTGAAAAGGAGTTCGACAATCTTTGGACATGGAAAACAATAGAGCAACATCTGATATATGCTTAGTCAAATCATTGATTTCCAATACTCCTTCTGTCCACCTTAGAATTTCTTCAATACCATCAGCATACAAATTATCAAAAAGGCCATCACTTCCTAACACTAGAATATCCCCTGCCTCTATCGAAGTTTGATACTCAATTGGAGAGTCAGGGCGATCACTAATCTCACTATTTTCTATAATATCCCTAACCCGTTTAATTAGAAAATTGCATGTGAGTAAGTAATTAATCATGCATTATTGGGTTGAATTAGGTAAAATATCTAATTAAATGAATTAAGGTCACTTTTGAGGTAAAAAATGCAGTTAGTGAAAATTATGGGGTAAAAATGTGTGTAGGAAAAATTACCCGAAATGTAAAAGTAAAGTTAAAAATGTGACTGGCAAAATATTCTAATTCATTAGGTAAAGTTTGGTAGTGAGTGGAGGTGAGTTGATATATAAACTTTTACCCAATTGAAATAACTAATATATGCTAAATAGCAAAACACAAACCAAATCTCATTCTTCCTCGTGGGTGCAGCGCTTGAGAGAGAGAAGAGACATTTGAAGACCAAACCCTAACTTTTCCAATCTTTAACCAAATCAACCCTCATTGTGAATCCTACCTTGGTTTTGAGTGGGAAGCCTTGTGGGTAGAGATATCTCCTTCCAAAGATTTCAAAAATTTGAGAGGAATTGGTATTTTGGGGGTGTTTCAAATATGCGCTTACTCCAAAGAAAAAGGGGAAGTCCCCTGTTGGAGAGCGTTGTAACGCGCTAATGAGCGTTCAAACGCGCAAAAATTGCAAAGAATACCTGTAGTGGGCATTAAAATGCGCTATAGGGCGTTACAACGCGCTAGTGTTAATTCCTTTGAGTCCCGAGCCTTTTAACACGCTATTGAACGTTGAAACGTGCTACCAGAATGAAAAATGAGTTCGATGAGCGCGTCGTAATGCTCTGGAGAGCGTTAACACGCTGTACCCGAAATCAACACAAACATGGTTTAATAAAAACTGCATAAGTTGAGCTACAGTGCTCCAAATTAAGTGAGGTTTGGACCTATGTGAAGCTAACACATAGGGCTATAACCCTATAAAATATTAGAACTATTGGTTGAGTATATCAATACCATTTTACGATTGAAGTTGATGCTGCAACTCTGAAAGTTCGATTTCATCAGCTATCTTGCGAGTTGAATAACTCTGGCTATCCTTAACTCAATGATTAATGTTATACCTTTCTAGAAAGCCCTGGAGGTCTAGTTTCACATACTCAAGTATTAGAGTTAATATTTATGTTGATGTTGATGTATGAAAACCCTATAAATATGTTTGTTAAAGAACTTTATGATATTAAGGTTAGGGTTTAGGGTTTAAGAATCTGGTTATTCCGCAACGTCACACAGTTATACTTATCTCATTGGTTATTTTAAATACGATATTGCTTAAAAGGGAAAGGTTTTAAAAAGAAAAATTTTATCCGTGTTTTAATTGAACTAATGTGATTGTAATTGCGCTTAATATCATAAAGTAATGATAATAAACTGATTCTAGAATGGGGTGTTACATTCCCCAACCGAAACAGTGTGTTGAAAGAGTGCTATTGAATGGGTGATTGAAAGAAAAGGCAATTATTTCTAAACAGTATTAAACCACTATCACCCACATTAACTCCATCTGACACCCCTTCCTTCAGAGTAACAATAGATGCAGCAGACGACCCTTTTGCTTTGGTATTCAAGAAAGCATCATTCAACACTTTTCTTGGATCAACAAAGCCCTTTGATTGAAGCTGAATAGCATTCATAGCCTCTGTCATGAGCTTTCTGGCATATTCACCAGCATTGATTCCTTTCTTGGCCCATCCACCCATCAACCACACCCATGGTTTGTTGTTCCTCACAAATGAAGAATGCATCATCTCCCATTGGTTTCTCTGGGTTATCCTTTGGATAGTAGAATTTTCCAGCAACCATCTTCATCACATTCAACCATTTCTTTGGCTTTTCTCCAACACCAATGTATTTATCACGAAGACGCTTCTTGATAATCATCGTTGAAAGTTTCAAATTTCAAAGAAAAGAAAAGAAAAGATGGTGCATAGACAGAAAGAAAGAAAGAAATGACAGGGAATTAGGTTGTGTGTGGGTTGGGTTTGATAAAAGAGATATGTAGTTTGTGTTATAACAAGTGTGTTTGATTCAAACAGCCCTAACTGACTCAACGGCTATAACCTTCTCGCTTTTTTTTATATGTTACATGACAAATGAATAATGTTATGTTAAGAAAAAGACAAGATAAATTTATTGAATAATGTGTCCTCTCACTTTTTTAATATTATATAATTTGTCTTTTTCGTAACATAATAACTATTCATTTGTCATGTAACATGACAAATGCATTTACCTTATTATTAATATGTTATGTTTACATTTTCTTTCTATTTATAATTGAGTTTATGTTTAAATCAAAATCTTTTAAGAGTTCTTTTTTTTAGTAGCTATGGGAATTGAATTCCTAGTACTTATTTTAAAAATACATTTTGTAATGAAAAAAATTGTAAAATACTGATATTGTAAAAATAAATGCTCACTCTCTAAACGTACATCCCTAGTACTTATTTTGACTTTGTTTAGACTACATGACCCAATGAATTTTTCTCTCACCAATTATGATGTCCAACCAAAATCTGCTAATCATTAATTTTAATGTGATTAAATAGTTTGAGAGATAACATGAAGCATCCTGTGATAGCTACTTATTTCATGAGAAATTTGATAAAAGAGAAACCAAGATATCCTAATTAGCCACCGTCTTTTCTCTACATGTTATTGTCCGTATGTTTGTTTACAGTGAAAAGCAATGGGTGAAAATGTCAGAGTGAGTGGGGTAAAGGATGTGCAAGCAATGTGGGACTCCTATAGGATATTTGAATTAGTTATCTTTTGGACAACAAAAAATGCAATTGGCTAGACCTTTTATTGTAATAGTAACTATGCGCTTTGTGTATTCTTGAGGGATTCCCTAAGGTATAGGTGTTAGGTTTTAATTTGAGATTTCTTCCACGAATGAATATTAAATTCCCTAATAGCGTAAATCAAAATTATATATATAGGAAAAGACCCATTTAAAAACTTTTTTTTACAAATTACACTAAGTATGACCGGTCATACATTCTTGATTGAAGTATGACTGGTCATACTTAGTCTAATTTGTAAGAGTTTATAAACAAAAAGTTGATACATATAACATTCATATATATATATATATATATATATAGAGGGAGGGCAGGGTATTCTTACACCGTGTAAGAGTTAGAAGTCTTACACTCAATCTTGACCATTGATCCACTTGTATCCAATGGCTCACATTATTAAAATATTTGAGCCCTTAAATATAAGTGAGATCAACGGACAAGATTAGAAGTGTAACTTACGCTGGTGAAAAATAATCTTGAAGAAGAAGCTTGAACTATGAAATTTTCTTAAAAAATCAGTATTTACTCCATACACCTAATTTATCATTTACTCTAAATCCATTTATGATGAAGGCATCATAACTTTTATTGTTTTATTAATTATATCTATGCTTCAGCACATTTTTTTGTTGTTGCTTATGTTACTTCTTCCTAAGTATAATAAATGTGGAAGGAAAAAAAGTGATTTTTTCATATAAGTTTATGTAAAGACTTACGATGATACTAGCATAGATTTTTATTGACAAAGATTTGATTTATATATCATTGTAATATTTTTGTCATTATGTTGACGATTAGCCATCGTTAATTCGTCGTAGTATCTATTCTAGTCCTTATAACTGTATCCGTTGCTGCAAGCTTTCACCACAGCCATGTATGCCTCCTATCCTAAGTCCTTCTTCTTCTTCTTTAAAAATATTCCAATCGGTTCATCGCTTCGCAACTAGTCTGATTCGGGGCAGGTCCCGGTATTAATGCTTTAAACCCTTCCCAAAAATGACATTGGGAGTAGATTGTCAAAAAGGGGGCCACAGCCCTAGGGCTAGCCTATTCAGCCCTATCAAAGTCCCATTAATTTTTCAGCCCTCTTTGTGGTAGGGTCATCTTAGCCTTAACCCATAAGGCCTGGAAATTTTACTTTCCTATTATAATGTGTATTTTATTATAATACCCTTTATTTATTATTTTAAACCCTAAAATAATATTTTGGAATTCTAGAAAATAATTCTATCTCAAGAAATGTATTTTTTCTATATAATATAATAATAACAATATAAGAATTAAAAGGCTAAAATGTTGAATAACATGTACTAACTTAGAAACATACTTCAATTAACTTACCTAAAACACCACCAAATCTATTTTGAGACAAAATTTGTGTTTCAAATATTGTACGCATGGATGAAGTCAATGTACAAACAGAAGCTTAATATTTGTTTGTGGCAAGCCAAACTTTGTAGCTGACTACCCCTTCATGTTCATCATAAGGCAGGGAAAAGAGACTTTCCTATTATACATGGGAGCAGAGTCTCCCCTCTCTTCGATTCTTGATGTTAATGAAGTTATTAATGATGATTAATATATTGTAATAATATTTTGTTGCTTTCTGAACTATACTTATATTTTTAATATCAATGGCATTGTACATGATCGGGTAATTATAAAGTCATGGATTTTAAAAGTTAGATTCTATAGCTTGAAGAATTTAGTGACAGCTCAAGATTTAACATTACAAGTTTCAACCCATAATTTCCTCACACATGCCCACATAACATTAATTTTCTTTTGTAGTCTATCATTTTATTTTATTTTTTAGTAAGCTCAGTCTTTTATTTATAAGATTTTTTTTCCCTGCAAAAAGGGTTCAAAAACCAAACCTAAAAAAATATGAACCATATTTTGTAACAGTTGAAGTTGGTGAAGGTTATAAAATTTGAATACGATTAGAAGTTTTATAAAGTATGCTTTCATGCTATTAGAATGATAAAAATTGATAGGAAGCAGTGTAACTTAGTCATTTCATACCAAGCAAGTCATGTGATTTGTACCTAGAACTTCTCATCCTATTATTTTCATCTACTCAAATAAACATAATAAGCATTTATGCATGCAAGACAATACCAATTAAAAAAGAAGTAAGGCTTAAGTAACAGACGAACAACACATTGAGCATGTAAAGATGAAAACTAAGCATGTAAAGACCACAAGCCGAAATATCAGATCAGATGATAAGACCTAAGGCTAGACTAACAGAGAAAATTATAAGTAAAACAACATGCCAGAATTATCATTCAGATGCACCGAAACAGGGCATTCAATAATAAAACCACTTTCCCCAAACAAAAGCATCAGAGAGTACAACCATCAATAGTTGAGAAGTACATCACGGAAAATATAAACCCAAATAGTCCATGCTGTTGCCCATATATGGCATCAACAACTGACCACTCCACTGTTCCATATGCAATAAAAAATTACATATGTTCTGCTGAAGCTTTAATTTATTCACCCGTTACACCATTCTTACCATAGGCAATCAAAGTATCTTAAGGGATATCATGAAACTATGACAGAAACCTTATCAAACTAGATCGGTATGATGGACAATTTGAACCATTACCGTGCAAGATCAAGTCATCTCACAACTTCATTTGTTTCAAACCTTTCACCTCATCTGTTCTATCAGTTCCTAGATGATTAAGATCAGTAATCTGTCCACAACTTCAAGTCAAAACAAGCAACAACACATTAACTCACAAAAATCGGAATTTTTTTTGTCATTTTGAAGAAAAGGCACCTAAATTACAGTAAAACACGGAGGGTCTGAACCTGAAAACCAGATAAAAGAGGGTAAGAAAAACAAACAGCAACCATAATAACAAGCCATTAAACCAAAACAAATCAATAAAAAATAATTCAAGTAAAGTTACAAACCAACTTAAACCCGAGCTAGATGCAACTTGTAATTTGTTCAAAATGTATCTTGACTTTTCGAAAATGTATCCATAGTAAATATAATTCTACACTGCTAAATACTGAAAAACCCATTGGACAAGATTTACGTCTAACCATCCTTGTCACTTGGGAAATGAAAGTGGACTTATTGATTGACACCTGAAATTGCTCTGTCATTGCCACTGCATCTGAAAGTGCTGGAGCAGCTCTCTTTGGTCGGAATATAATTAAATAGAAAATATTTGATAATATATACATTATAGGCTAGTACAAAATGGGTAAGAATGACCAAAATGGGTAAGATGCGGTGTAAATGACCAAGCAAGTGTGAAGTGACTTTTAACAGTTTCATCCTTTTATTTTTCATCTACTCAAACAAACATAAGAAGCATTAACACATGCACGATAAAAACAATTAATAATAAAACAACATATTAAGCATGTAAACACCAAAACCGAACTATCATATCAGACCAGCAGAATTAAGGCTAGAGTAATAGAAATTGTAAATTAAAAAACATGCTAAAATTATCATTCATAGGCACAGAAACAGGGCATTCAATAACAAAGCATTTTCCCCAAACAAAAAATGTTTTTAACCATATATGGCAACAACAACTGACCACTCCACTATCCCGTATGCAATAATACAGTGTATGACGCTATATCTTTCAAAAAACAGAGCACTTATGTTTGATGCACTTGGCATCACTCACTCAAATCAAACAGCACAAATAAATGTTGGCACAATAGCAGAGCAGGTGAGCTCCTACGGAGACCAAAAAAATCCTAATTTCCTATCACAATAATCCCAGCAAAGCACAGCACAGACAAGTTCAGAATTCAGACTTCTGCAACCTAAACGAATGCACCTTAGGCTTCACCAGAAAATCAACCCAATCTTCACTATACACACTATTGAAGTACAATAACTAATCAATAATACAGTGGACATGATTTTCCACTCAAATAAAAGAAAACAGAACAAAAAAGCACATTTCGGCATGTTTTAAGCAAAAGTTGAATGAACCCTGAAGTAGCTATATCAGAACACGCAAAACAATTCGGGAAGGATATAACAATCATCACTTTGCAAGCAACATAAACAAACCCACCTAATTGATGACAGAAATAAACCCAGTCCAAAAAGCTCCATATCAGCATACTCTTAATTTATCAATAATCCAAAGGCTAAAAATTAAAATAAAAAATAAAGTAACAGATAAATCATTACAAGCCATTAAAGAAAAATAAATCAGTCAAAAGAAATTTCAAGTTACAAACCAACTTAATCCTGAGCTAGACTCAACTTGTAATTTATTCAAAATGTATCTTGACATTTTGAAAAAATGTATCTATAGTAAATATAACTCTGCACTGCTAAATACTGAAAACCCCATTGGACTAGATTCATGTCTAACAATCCTTGTCACTCGGAATGAAAGTGGACTTATTGATTGACACCTGAAATAGCTTTATGTCATTGCCACTGCATATGAAAGTGCTGGAGCAGCTCTATTTGGTCCTTCGGAATTATATCTCACCAATCTTGAACAACAACCAAATACGTTGAGGCATTCTGCAAGCACATCCAAATTACATAATCCAAAATTAAAATCATCAATAACATCAGAAATTTATACCCCCCCTAATTCTTTGTCCAACCAAACAGAACTAACTGCACCATATGCATGAAGGTGTAAATGATGCAAATAATATCACTTGAGTGTGACGACATTGTAGAATCTCACTGGAAATCCTAATTTTTTTTACATCAAACATCAGTTGTTTTTTCTTATGAATTTTTCCACTCAAATTGCCTTGTCTTTGATTATTCTTGCAATTTCATGAATATTTTTTATTTTATTCTATTGAAAACGAAAATAATATTAGCTAGGAAGGAGAGAGTACAAAATAGGTTAAGGTATCAATTTTAATGTATCATTCATATAACTTTTTAATTTACATAATGCAAGATGAAAAATAATAAAATGGTAAAAAAGATTGGTGAACATTACATACCCTAAAATTCTTCTTGTTTATTACTGTTGGTCATGTTTCCCCAAAGTCACTAGGGAATGATTGTAGACTCTCCGTATAAATAGCACACCGTAGTGGACGTTCTTTGTGTAACCACTGCATAATTCTGGAGATCTCAAGCAACTCTCCTTTGTCATCAAGTTTCAATAATTTTCCTCTATCATCTGATCCAACGATTCCAGCACGTATGCTAAAGCATATGTGGTAATACGAGCCGCAAGGAATGTGCTCAATGTAGCAATTAATATTAGATGAAACAATGGACTTGGTCCAAGATAACTGCACTTTGTACTCTTTCATCACCCAGCAAACACCACGTGAGCAAGCCAGACCGAGACATCCTTCTATTACCATGAAATGCCAAATTTCATATTTCCGGGGAAAATCAGGTGGCAAAAGAATCTCTGATAAACTCCTTTTTATCAAATCAAAAGCAATAATCACATCCTTTGTAAAATCACCTTTAGAGAAAACAACCCAATGAAGAGCCTCGTTCAAGAGGAACCCAGATCTGACTGTGACTCTTGTCCCATTATCGAAATATGGAAAATTAATACCCTTAACTTTGTTCCATGAATTGGTTTTCAAGGAGAAAAACTCCATGTGAGTTTTAAACTTTGTGGAAGATTCCATAGCAATAACTACCAAGTAGTCATCAGTTGATGGGTCATACCCAAAACCATATAAAAATTTGTGACCAGGGGAGCATGATATTGTTTTTCGGGCACCTGTTGATGGATTCCATAAAATGAGATCATCATCCTCCTTACGATACTTTAAAAGTATAATCCCTCGGCAAGAACCCAATATTTCAAGATAATTTGAACTAACCGAAGGAATTAACGATGACTGTGGACGAGGGAGGTATACTCGAGCAGAATCATCGTGAAGTGGTGCATCTATTCCTATGGATTCTAAAGGACCATCAGGATATGTCTTAACAAGAAGAAGTCGGTGGGTGGGTGCAGCGGCCATGTCATAATGTGATTTTGCAAATTGGGGATTGGAAATGAGAGCGAGCCATGACTTACACACACATTTGAAACGCAAAAGAGATCTCACCGGCAACCTTTGCAGAATTTCTTCGATCAACTCGTCAGGGAGTGTGTGAGTGCGAGTGAATGAATCAGATCTCAACGGCAGCTTCATCTTCTTCGTTTTCTTCAATGTCTCCATCTTAATTCTTCAATGTCTCAACAGAAGAAGAGGAGAGAAAGAGAACACAATCAGAATGAATAATTATAAGATTTGGCTTTTTAAAAAGACAATGAGGGTTAGGCGGTGTTAATGGGCCGGGGTTCACTGTTAAAAGGTTAAATCTGTGTTTACATGTTATCAAATATAATTATCAGCATGTGATCTATCTTATTTATAAAAAATAAAAATTTAATTTAGTTTGTTAGTCTGTTTAAAAAAATAAGACAACTAAAATTTATTCAAATAAATATATGATCAAAAACACTAATAACTTCACAAAGGTTCATAAATTTAATGTATATTCAAAAAACATAATATAGAACAAAAACATTCAAAAAAAATTATTTAACCAATAAAATAAGGTGAAATGGGTTGAGGAGAAAGAGAGAGTTGTTATGAATAGTATACAAAATATAAAATAAAATAAAAAATTAGTATACTAGGCCAGCCTAAAAGGCTTTGACGCCGAACTTTTGAATTAGAACCTGAGGCCTTTTTATTAAACGAGCTTTTATACAAGTTCAAGTCTGGTTCTAACAATCAATTTTAGACATGTAAACCAAAGCCTTCATGAGCCGAGCCTAAAGCCCCTAGTTTGTTTAGCACCCCTAATTAGGGGGTTTAATATCGGAGAAATTCGATTGTTTCCACGAATCAAAAAGTTATTTCTCAATAATATTATCAAAAACTTATTTAATTGGCCAAATATTTTCGTAAATATTTTCTTAGTTATGTGTTTTTAGTTGATTTCCGAGAATATGTATTGATTTTATAAAATTTAACATTCGATGAATTTTTAAGAAAAATATTCTAATTTATCACAAAAAAAAATTAATATACTTATTTATGTCTTATAAATTATATAAGAAAATTTCCATCATGATGAGAATCTAAAAACACAACCCACTAGTGATATTATTTTATGAGATTTTTATTCACAATTTTAACTATTAGGAATCTTATTTTTTTCAAAAAGATTTTAATCCTTATACCAAATATTGGGTAACTAAGATTTCTAATATGAATTTCCTGTAAATCTAAAATTTATTTCTTTACCAAATAACTGCATGGAATCACTCAAATCTCAAATCTCAAGGGTGTAGTGGATTAAGATTTTTAAAGGATTTTGTGAGAAAAAATCTTATATATTTAAAAAGACTATTTAGAATTGGAGAGATTTTAAAGACTTTTTTAAAAGACTTTTCTTACCATCAAGATTTCATAAAGATTGGATTTTAAAGGAAGTTAATAGAATTTATAAGATTTGAAAGGACAATATAGATTTATAAGATTTTAAAAAATTATATGAATTTTTAACAAACATTCAAAATTACAAGAGTCAATAGATAAAAAGGGAAGGTTATACTTACAACCTATTTTTATTTACAATCTTTTACAACAATATTTTAACCGTTGATTTCCATCAATCAACGGTTACCAAATTCAAAATACAGTGAGCCAAATTTAAATTTTAAATTAGTTAGTTTTCAGTAAGCCAAATTTAAAGTTTATGTTCGAGACACATTTAAACTATAAATATTAAAAAATACGATTTCAAGGGTGTTATGACTCAAACAATAACTAACTAATTTAAATTTTAAATTTGAAATGGTTTGAGTCAAATTTATATGAAATATTTTAGTTCAGAAATATTAATTGAAAAAAATGTAGAGAAGGAAAAGGGTGTGGAATATCTAAAAAAGAAGAAGCTGAAGTGTTGAATTAAATGTTAGTAAAAATTCAAATTTTAAATTGTAAAAATAAGGACCAAATGTTTTAATCAAATTTATTACTTTTATACATTTAAATCGTAGGTTGGGTTCTTTCGAGTAATTAAAAAGAAAAAAATTGGAAAAATGTAAATTTTTGAATTACACTGAATCAAGGTTAATATAAATCCAGACTAAATTTTAAAAATAAGAACCAAAAGTTTGAATCAAATTGAAACTTTTTTAGATTTTAATTGTAGGTTGGGATGTTTTGATTAGTACGAAATTTGTTTTTTGTTTTTTGGAAAACAAAAGTAAATTCTTGAATTCCACCGAATCAGGTTAATAAAAATTCAGATTTTGATGCCATAGATAAACAGATTAGGATTTAATTGCAAAAAACAGCATTGACGAATATATCAATAAACATCACATAACATTTTGATTTTGTTGAACTCAACATAGCAAAACATCACAAAATGATTAGAATATTAATAAATGTCAGTTAAAAAACGATTTCAACATTTAAAAATATAACTCCAACAAAAAAACGTCAATTCAACATTTTGTTGTAATAAACATCCTGTCTCCAAGACACAAAATACCACTCTTCAGTCATAGTAGCCCAATCTACGGGGTATTCTCATCTGCTTCTGCATCAAATCTATTTAAAAAAAAAAGAAAGAAAAAATTTAATTATCAGCATTTTCACTATGTGTAAGCAAATGACATGGTTTGCACATGATATTACGAAAAGCAAAAGAATAAATATGCCACATGATTCAATTATAAATATAAATTAGAAAATACGTAACTCTTTTTCAAGCTTAATTTTTTTGGCTGTCCGCACAACTGAAAAATTAAATTCTCCAACAATGGAATCATGAGAATTGATCACCGGTGTCAACATCGTCAGAGAGATATCACCAACGTCAGCACTATCACAAGTCTGACTCTCAACATCCTATTTATTATTTCGTAAAAAAAAAAAAAGGTACGTCAAGTATCGACTTTTCATAACATCAATCTAAATTCAAATAATGGGATACCGCAACCTTTTCTGGTTCTGACGATACAATTTCATTTTCGCGTGCTTTATCGAAATTTGCTTCATCCTGTGATATACAACAACCAACAACAGCCAACAAAATGAATAAGAATAATGGATACCCGACAGAAATAGAGAAGCAACATACATTTGGATCGATAAGAGACTTAATGGATGCTGAGATTATGTCTTCGCTGATACAAATTTTAGAAACTTGATATTTGGGCTCACTGTATGAGTTGAAATCCTTTTGCTTCACATTTAGCTTGAACAACATCAACATCTCATTCAGAAATTTAACTCTACTGGAAATTGATCCAAATCCGCACCCTACAGAAAAAAAAAAAAAAAAGGATGATCAATTAACAACTACAGCGCAAACAGAGTGCACTCTACGTCAAAATATACATTTTTCACTATTTCATAGCAATGATAATACAAACCCTCTTGAAATGCAGCTCATGCAATTCACCAGAACTCATTCCCAACAAAGACACACAGTCGCGATCAAACAGAAGAAATGATGCAGAATCTGTGTTATCCACAACTCTTACCTGAACACTAAATCTATCGTTTTGCAAAATTGTATATCAGAAAAAAAAAATATTAAGCATACAAATTAAAGACAAATTAAAAACCAAGAACAATATATTACCTCGGATAATAATCCTCCCAATGTTTTTGGCAGTTCTTACCGTACCACTTCTCAAAATCCTCACAAACGAAAAATGGACATTTTTTGCAAGACATGTACCACCAGTTGTGTTTTCTCTCAATAGATTTTATAGTCACATACGTGATGCACGTCGTAACTTTAAATATAGCCATCGCAGGTAAACAGGAAACATCATTCATACAGACTTGATATAATTCTAGAAAAGCTAAAAAACAGAAATTCGATATTTACCTCACCCACAAAGCTTCACATCACTGATAGACTTTTTTTCAGTCTCCTTCAGAAAATCATTTTTGTAAGAATAGGAGGACTGAGTAGACAACTGAGTCATCCTCAGACTACTTTCCACACCATCAGCCGAAAGACTATAAAGAAAAAATTCATAACACCATAAATGATCAACCGAATAAATTGTCAAATGAGTTCAAGAATAACAAACACACCATTTTTTGAACTCAACGATCTCTGGAATCTTCGAATCCATGACAATCCTCGTTGTATATTTTGTATTTTTTAACCCAACCTTACCTATCGAGTTGAGTATATCAAATAAAAACCGAAAAGCCAAAAATAAAATAACGTGAATAAAAACAAAATACAGAAGCATCATACTGATAACGTCTCGTTTGGAAAAAACATACCCCTAAAACATTTTATCCTACCCAGCTGGACTATCATGACGTTATGAGGAGTGTCGCTGTTTGCCAAAAAAGATTGCACCTCATCCACATAATGCTCCCACAAAGTGCACTCCAGCTTGTTACCCCTACATATGAGTTGCAGCAAGAAAAATGGTAATACACAAAAAATATAAGCTAACAGAGCTTGGCAAAATTATTTTATTTAAATCTACAATTTTAAATACTTCAGGTTGTCAAGCTCAAACACAACCATTTTTGTCTTCCTACCAGACACCGCACGATCACAAACTTCCCCAATTCCTGATATTAAACCAATGACGTCTAAAAAAAAAAAAGGCAGCAAAGAGTCCGTAAAAAAAATGCAAAAATTAAAAAATGAAAAACAGTTAGGAAATATAGATTACCCACTAAATAAGGAGAGTCAGATGTTTCTTTCTCAATGATGTCATAATCAACAAAATCAAATTCACTCGCAGAAATATTAGAATCAACAATTGATTTAAGATCAGTCCTCAAGTTGAAAGACAAAAGATATTGATGCTTGGTCGGCCTGAACACATCGCTATTGAATCCAACTCAAATTTTTTTTATAAAATAGCACTCTCCTTCATGGATTTTCTTCCGCACCGGCAAAGAACCTTTGACGGTGGCGTGGATCCTACCACCCTACAAAAGAACGCAGCCAACTCACATCAATAACGTTAATTAAAATGATTAGAACAAAGATGGAAGATTTAAAAAACGCAAAGATAGAAGATTTAAAAAACGCAGACAACTACCTATTCATCCAATAAAACCATTTCAGCATTGTCGTCAAAATCTCTGCGTTGAAAGTTAGGAACTTTCCAAGCACGAACCACCTTCACCTTAATCCTCCAGTCCTCTTTAGCAGGATTGACATCCTTCAGAAAATCATATTTTGAAAACATAATTTTGGTAAGACGAAAAAAGAGAGAAGGAAGAAGCTATTTCGTTGAGGAAGCAACGCGCAAACAACTGATATTTGGCAGCAGCAAAAAAAGAAAAAAATTAGAAGCAACAAAATCGTCTCGCGTTCGCATAGAATACAGAGACGCAGATAAAATAAAGTGATTACACATATACGCTAATAACGTGTTGTGAAATTAATAAGAACTAAAAGAAGATTATAGAGATAAGAGAAATAGGGGAACGAATTCTTGTTCTATATTATAGTAGTTTTTTTTGGTAGATGAGGAGGGCAAAAGCCCAGAACAAAAAAAATAACATTACTTTTTTTTTGGTAGATGAGGAGGGCAAAAGCCCAGAACAAACAAAATAAAAAAATAAAAAACATTAAGACATAGCCTTAGCTACCAACTCTAGATACAGACACAATACTCCTCCTGATATCTACTTCCAGAAGGTCCTTCATCTCCTCGGGGGGATCTTTAAGCTCAATTATATTACCCTGTTGAGGGTATTGCAAACCCTTTTTAACAAGCCAATCTGCCGGTTGGTTAGCTTCCCTTCTGATGTGTTTGATAGAGATGTCTGGGTGCTCATTGAGGAGCTTCCTAATCTTCCAGGTTAGTTGAGAGTAGTTATCGTTGGACATCGCAACAAAGGTAACTGCTTCCGTTGAGTCTGTTTCAATTATCACATTCTTCAGATTTAGACTTCTCACAAGTCTAATTCCTTGGAAGATAGCTCATAACTCTGCTTCAATGATATTGCATTGACCCACAAAGTAGGCAAATCCACCCATCCATTTTCCTGAAATATCACGAGCAAGCCCACCACAAGCACCAAGGGAGTTATGTCTGCTCACTGCACCATCCACATTAATTTTAAAGTTCCCCACCTCAGGATTGGTCCATTCCCTCTTCTGATTAACTAATGGATTATTATTGCTTATATCTAAGTTCCGATCCATCGCACACCTGATATTAGCAATGTATCCTACAGATACATTTGTGGGGCATATCAGGGTGTATAAACTCGCTATTGTGCACATCTGCATTTCTCCATTTCCACAAGTACCAGCAAGATACATAGAAAATGTCTTTCCACTCAAAACCCCAATCAACTTTCCAACTTCCACTAATGTTGGCTTTAATCCACTCTTCGTTAGGTATAGACGGGAAACTTAAGGGGATTCTGCCTTTGAACCAAATATTCCAAAGTTTCCTAGCATGTATGCAGTCTCTAAGGACATGGATGATTGTCTTAAGCTCACCAGGGCAAGCCAAACAATCATGAGGTCAACTACCCCATTTGGACGTCCTATTACAAACTGGAATTCTATTTAGGATAGCCAGCTACGTGAATATTAAGATTCTCTTGAGGCCCTTTCCAATTCCACAGAGAGGACCAGATTGCTGAACTTTGATGTGTGTCACCGCTTATACACGATGCTTACATGATGCCTTATACGTGCTTTATTTATAGGCTCAAAAAACATGAAAGACATAATAACTATAATTATTTCTTTAAGAGTCATAATATCTTCAATGGTCATAACGTCTTTTAACGGTCATAATAGTTATATAACGGATTGGACAGCCAACACACTTGGGAACATATTTTCTCTTTACAAATCTTAGTGTACTCAATAACAAATTTAGAATACCTTTATTATTATTATTTTTTCCTGGTGTTTAGAAGATGAAATGAAATTTAGAACACTCAGAATTTCATTCAAAATCTACATTTTATTTTTAAATTCAAAATTAAATAATATGAATTCAAAAATATCGAGCTAAATTTTTTATACTCGTTCACATTAAAATAGATAAAACGAACAGATTATAATCCAGCGCATAATAATTTCTCAATAAAGAGTACTTTTAAACATAAAATAAAAAAGCATAATTTAAACATCTCTTAAAAAAAGTGTATAATTTACTCATTTTTTAACCGAGAAAAAGTGAACCAAAAGAACAAATCAATGTACTATACCATAGAACTAATCAATAATCCCTATTTTTTAAAACAAAAATTAAATCTACTAAATTTTTTCATTAATACATTATTTGTATTTCACAGGTGCTAATAAAGTTTTTAATAAAATCATGCAAATGTGGCATTATTAGGAAACTTAATTTAAAATAAAAAGGATAAATCACGTCTGCTGCTTATTAAAAAAAATAAAAAATTCGTCTAGAATTATACGGGAGCTCACTTGAGCAAAATTTCTATAAGGTGTTGATTTGAGCAAATTTCTTAGTCTTACAGAGTTTTTTTTTTTTTTCCTGGCACATTATGTGGTTCAGCAAATATAATACTTCATATAGCAGTAAATTACAACTTACCCCCCTTAAATAGCAAAGGGAAATTAATTATCAACTATAGTACTAACCATCTAACCTCAAAATTTCAGCATCATCCAGTAAATAAATATTCCCTCAACTCTATCTCTCTCTTACTCGCCGAAAACTGACACTACCTCCTTTTTATCTATGCATTATCAATCTACTCCTCTAATTATAAATCTTGCAGGTTGATGATTAAAACTGGACCTACATGCATTCCCAGATGATCATAACTCATCGTGAAGTTGCTCATCAACCGTTTCATCCCTTGGACCTTCAGAATTGTCAGCGGAATGATCACTTGAAGAGGAATCATCAGATGATGTCGAATTGGAATTATCCGTGTTCTGTTCACTGCTCTCAGTTTCGTTCTTTATAGGCTTCTGAATCTTAGGCTTGGGCTTTTGAATTCTATTAATACTGGCAACCTGTAAATGTACATAAAAAACCTCAACAATAGAGCCACTGCTTTCATGGACCAGTAAAATCTCATGCCAATACACTTTCTTGATCTAGAAAAGTAGAAGAGACGGTACCTTATTTTGCAGATCTAACACCTTTAAATAAACTTCTTCAGATGTAAATGCTGGCTTACTGAATCCAGATGTACTTCAAAACAATAAAGAATAAGAAATTAATAACCAATTACATTAAAACTATTACGTGCACACTGCAATTTCCTCAATGACCAAACACAAATCCGTAGTCAGGAATATGGGAAAACGAATGCTTTACAAATCTAGACTAGTCCATTTTTCATAAATATTCCGAAGCATATACAAAAAAGTACAATATAGTCTCAAAGAAAGCAAAATAAATTACTAATCTCTAGGAAATAGTCTAAAACTTTGAAGCTATTAATGAATGATTCAATTGACCCATTGCTCAACATGAAATCATTTACATAGTCCTTACAGAGAGCACGGGGATAAAGGCTCACCCTCGAATGAACAATCTGAGGAAAACTTTTACCTAGAAAATAAGTATAAAACAGACAAGGAAACCTTGCACAGAACAGTCCCTAATGCGTAAAACAAGAGGAACCTAGGCTACCTCATAATATGCTGCATTACATGCACGTACAGTAGCCAGAAGAGACTTTTATATGACAAAAAACCTTAAAATCTAACATATACTTTTTCATTATACAGCCTATTTTCATTTATCATATTTTGTGCTATATATAAATTGACCCAAATCATAGTCCATTTAGTCTTTCTTCCTTAGAAGGGTAATAGAAGACGAAAGGAAACCACTTCCAAAAATAACTTCTTTCACTTAGATCAATATCATTAAGGTAGAAATTAATCATGCAAAATTATTTTTAAACAAAGAAAAATACACCAGATTATAATTAAAAATGTATTTGTTGCACCAGTTGCAGCAAAGCACGTATAAAGTATCATAGATTAGAAATAAAGATGCATAACTCAGTATTAGAATTCTAAGAGGACCTCAACAAAAATAATAAATGTTTATACAAGCTTCCACTCGTTAAGATGCTTCTTTTCACTCTTGCAAAGTCCACGCATAATATTCAAATGACCAATGTAAAAAATAAAAAACAAATAACTACAAGAACAACTAAATTACCATGACAGGAACTTACTTCTTTTGCTCAACCTCTTTCTCATCCAGCCAATTCTTTAACTTTTCGGCATCATTTATAACCTTGCAAGTTAGCAACCCAAAAAGAACAAAATGAATTTTCCTAATGTAACCCATCAATTTTAATGGATTCAAGATTATTCAAATCAAGTTAAATCAAATACCTCATCTACTCGTTCTTTTGGAAGCCAAGACTTGTTTGCTTTCCACTCTTGTATAATCTACAGATGTCAGCAAAAGATACATATATAAATGCTTCAAGTTACTTTACAAAATAGCTAGCTGAGTTTGAAAAGAAAATTTTGCAAATCAAAGTATACTCTTCAGATATCTCCCAGAGTATAGCCAATCAATTTGCATTGTACATACATTTGGTTTGCTTAACTTCAACATAATGCGCTTTTCTACAAAAAATCACTGCATATCATATTGATTATATGATTTTATGAAGTGTATTTTTTTGTGTATGATTTTATAGGAACAGGCACATGAGTGCTGACATGATGAAAACTGGATAAACAACAGAATGGATGTAGCCAGTTATATCAAATTAATTATAAATTCTCCGTCCAATAACGTGATAAGAACCTTGAGATGCACCACCCCAAAAGCTAGCTCAAACAGTAGAAGTACCCAAGGCCTTACAAATCCCACATTAGTTGCCCATACAACCAATGTGGAACTCCAAGTCCCATACCTTGCAAATGGGTACTAACATAACGGCATAGGATTACCAATCTCTGAATTCTTTCAAATGACAGATGCCGAATTAACACCAAAGAGATAATGCAGACACAATCTTCTCATTCTATCATATTACAATTCCTATCGGGTCAGCATACAAACTGACTGCACATCATATGTTCATAAGATTCTCTCTAATATTCATCTAAAAGTATGTGCCTTTATAGGATTTGCTACTAGAAAATAAAAAATAAAAAAACGTGTTAGAATATCAAAGAGTATCTTAAAATATCTTTATAATATCTTTAGAATACCTTAGAAGATATTTAGAATATATTGCAGAATCAATTTGTTATCTAATTGAGGAAGCAATCTTAAGAGTTGTTTCCTGATTTCATTATGTTTCCTTATTTAATTAGGTTAACAATCTTACTGTATTAGCAAGCTTCGGCTTGTATTAGTAATACTAGTACTTAACCTGGTCATTAGTAGAGCATTAGGTTAGTGTTTGGGATCACATCATAACACACCATATAAATCTAATAGAGCATTATTTTGATATTCATCTTCTCTCCTTTCCTTCTTCCTTATCTAAAACCCCAATAATTTTAATAGAATGACATACACACTGGGGAAAAATAGGTATGATATATATAAGAAGTCAGAGCAGGTTGGGCCATGAACAGGGTGGACAAAGTGAAGCTAGGGTTCCTGAGACTTGGGAGGAAAAAAAGAGCAAGGTGTGGAGAGAGACAGTAAAAACATCTACCAAACCTTATCCTACTATTCGAGCTGGCTACCTAAGTACATATAACAATCCACACTATTGGGCTCTATCACAAACTAAATATCAGTAAAACCATTTCGAACAATGTCTACATAGAGATAGGGGAAAAAGTAAATAAAAAGGATGATACAACGGAAAAAAAGGTGGTTGGAGAGGAATATGCTGATGGTGCTATGCACATTGGCACGTAAGAAATCCTCCTTCACAATGACAAGAGAAAAGAAATAGAAACAGCAACTGCAACAAAAACAACAACAAACTACCCCTGAATCAAACAAGTTCATAGAGAACACAATAGCAACAACTACAACAACCAAGACTTATCCCACTATTTGTAACCTAGCTACATGGATCAATTGAAGATAATTGGACTCTATAAAAAAAAAAAAAAAATCAGTTTCAAAAAGAACACAAACAAAGAAAATAAAAGGTGGCAAAGCACATTACATCAGAAGGTTGTTCATGGTACCTGTTTCAGCTCATCGATGTATTTGTGGGCATATTCAACTGCTGCTGGTCGAGCTGTAAGCTCTTTTAACCTGAAACAGATGTTAACCCATTTAGAAAAACTTTACCACACTACAAAGGCATACATAGTAAAATTAATAGAGCTATACTATAACTGAAAATATAGACCTAAAGAAAATTGGATCTCCAACAGTTTTTAACTGATCCAGACGCTCTTGAAACTCTGTAGCATTGGCATCTTCACCATCTGTATACAACCAATCTTGTACCTGACAGAATGCAACAAGCTTGAGTCAAAATTCATATCAAAACATTTCTTTTCGTCGCCCAAGGAAAAGGTTGAAACCTGATCAAGCTTCTCAACGAAGGACTGGCGTTCCTCACTGGTAGAAACTTTTTCAAATTCCTCCAGAGTTTCAATCTGATAAAACATGGGAAGCATTAAGAACAAGTTGAAAAATAAATAGTTAAATTAGTCCATTTTTAACATTCTGAAAAAAAAATACCAATAGGCTTGAAGTTTGTGCAGTATGTAAATCAATATAATATGACTAGGAGCATCATTCCCAAATCCCACCCTCTCCTCCAAGAGAAATACACGGCAAGCAACAAAAAGTACTCCAAGTAGATGCAGATGATGATGAATGAAAGGAAAAGATTAAAAATGAAGATCAATGGATTGGGCATTCATAAGTTAATTTGGCTAGAGACTAGGTTACTTTGGGTTTTAAAAAATGTTTCTCCTCATTATTTCATTTCTTAATTCTCTTTTGATGGATTTTTTCTTAAAAATAATAATCAAGACCAGGAGTTCATGTCCTTCAGTATAAACTTAAACAAAGTCAACTAATTAAAGGCCAACCTTTAAATGAATCTCTGAAAGAAAATTGGAAATCTTAAAGGATAAAGCATTACCCATCATATAAGAGATGAAATGAAGGCCTTCAAGATAAAAGAAAACCATAAGCATATTGCTTTCTACCAACCTTTTCTTTAGTAGTATATATATATCCTTCTAAATTATTTTTTAACTCGGCAGTTCTTTTTCTTTCTGCATCTTTTTTGTCTAGTGCTTGTAATTTTCTTTTAGCTTCATCAAGAATGTCTTTAGATAGAGACATCCCAGGTCCCGTTATCTTCTCAACAATCTGCCACCAGTAAAAAGCAAAAAAGAAAAAAGGAAGACGCAAGAAGAAAAGAGTATATTAGAAGATCAAGTTTCAACTTTTCGCGTGAAAATCACTAGCCAGTTTAAATGACTACAAAGTAAGGGTAATCAGTTAGCTTTCACCTTTAATGGCACCCTAAAGGTCCTCTTTTTCAGTTTTCTCTCTGTAGCAGGTTCTGCAGCAGCTTGCTCCTCTGCACTAATATTGGACGTCTTACTAATCCCACCACTATCAGTTTGCACACTTTCATTGCTTTCCTCGGAACTATTCCTAGCACCAGATTCATCTGATGTGTTTGATGAAATAGTTGAATTCTCTACGGTCAAATTCTTCCTAGGAACTTCCACCCACTCTGTAATTTCAATAACAGCATCTGCCCGATCCAAGGAAAGAATTCCACTTCTACTAAGAGAGAAATGTATGTTTGCCTTGATGGGGGATGACAGATTTCGAGATGAGTATCTAGAAGAACATTGCAGAAACAAAAATAGGGAGCATCAGTGTTTCTAAAGATTTTGCATGAAAAACAATTCCTTAGGGAGCCTAAATCAGCAATTGCGTCAATAAAAGGTCAGGAAGTTTCTTATCCTTACTTCTCATTTGCATCGGTCAAACCAGATATTTGGTATTGAGCAATTTCTGGAGAGGTAACACCAGTTGGCAAATGATGTTCACTTTCATAAGCTAGTGAAACTTCAAAATCTTTATTATGATTAATAGATCTGAACATCTGTCAAGTAAACAATACTACAATTGATAAGAAAAATTGGAGAATAAAATTGATCAATTCACTCTTTTTATAATATGCAGTCACATTAAGCATGAACCATCAACTGATTTACCTTACTCGGGAGTTTCTTCATTCGTGGTACAAGTAACTGCTTAGAGCTTTCATCTTTCAAAAGATCAGGACCGTTCAACTCAACCACAAAACCATATAAGGAACCATCAATCATTCCTAGTTTGCGGTTCAATTTGATTCCATCACTTAAATTCGCAGCGTGCAGAGCTGCACCAAGAACAATTGCTTCATCAGCATCAAGGTGCCTATCAAGTTCTTTTCTCCCAAGGAACTCTTGAAGCTTAGCCTGTGAAAATATGAAGCAGAATAACAATAAGTAAGTTTACATTAATGCTGAACTGCTGAGTAAAGTCCTTCATCTGTAAAACTAGAGAGCAAACACTGTAGTAAACAATACACAGGTAAAAAGAGAAAGTGTTGCAATTTCATTTGACAATAAATAGATAATGATATATGGAAAACAAATGTTGACTGTAGAGACAATACTATAAAGAATGGAGCTCAACATTGTACAAATATCTGCAGTTCTATTCTGATACAATCAACTTAACAGAATGCAATTATATGGAATAACCTCTCTGTATATTAATACTTCTCAGTAATCAATGGAACTTAAAAGCAGAAAAAACATCACATGGTTCTCCATAGTACTGCTATGGATCAGTGTTTACAGGAATGAAATAACAAAAGCAAGTAAAAGAGCCTTTGAGATGCTCTGAAATCTCCTAAGGAATTAACCATACAATGACCCCTTGGTAAGTATCCTTCTTTTCCCTGCCTTCCTAATAATACTCACTCACTGTAACTAACTTGCAACGCGTATACCTTCATTCTCTTCTAACAAACTCGTTGACTCAGCACTAACCAACTGATTGGGTTTTTGCCAACGTTTCCTGCCCTTATCCCTCACATAAACTTTGTTCAATTGGGCTTTACGTAATTGGGACCTATCATACTCCCACCCCTCCCTATGAGCACTTTGCCAAAAGAATGGTCATAAAAGGAAAAAGATTATTCAAACCTGTAATTTTGGCACTCTGGTAGCACCTCCAATCAATTCCACTGCATATATTTGTTCCATTGACAGGCCTGAATGCTCAAGTACCTCTTTCACAGGTATAAGAGACTTTTCCCAAATATCTTCACAGAGCTCTTCAAATTTCTCACGGGTTATTGTGCTCCTGTAAGAAAATAAGACTTATTCAGGACCATTGAGCATTAGCTGTAGTTAAAATATATCATAATTTGATAATCAAATAAAAATTTATTTTCCTTGTCATTGTTTGCATTTTTATTTGCAGGTTACTGTGCATCCATTTCACTTGACAAGCTTGATCATATAAGGGAATTTCATTCTTCCAATGTATTTCTATTAGATAAGTAGTAGCTTACTTTCTGTGATGTAGTAGCAATTAGCAGTCTACTGATTTATTGTACACATGCATGTATCAGATCTTTTCTTCCTTTCTGTTATAGCTTAGTTAGCTTTCTGTTTGTTTGTTAGATCTGACTCATCTGCTGAGTCAGCATCCTCACACTCTATATAATGATAGAGTGTAGCTTTGTGTGAGTTCAGTTTTTCATAATACAGATTCAGATCCAAAATATCTTCTCTCTCTCTCTCTCTCTCTTCTTGCATATATGGCTTCTCTCAAGAACTCGAATAATTTCTCAGACTTTCCCTTTTCAGATTTGCTAATCATTTGAAAACAGCAACTTCCTTTAGATTGATCTTTAACAATAGATTTAAGAAGATACTAATCTAACTATTAAATAATACGCAGCATTGTCTTTAAGGGTATATGCAACTCCCTCAACCAAGCTGAACATAAATATTGCCAAATTTTAAGCATTGTTTTTTATGAAATTGTTTTTTAATAATTAAGAAAGACCAGCCCATACTTTTTAGTCATGACTAGTAAAGAAACTCCACACTCAATCTTTTACAAGTGAGTGGCATCTCCTTGATATCAGTGGAACCTGAGCCAGGACCAGGTTTGATTTAAATGTAAATTCACGTCTGTGGTTATAGTTTTTATTATTTTCTCAGTAAGGGAATAGAATTTCCTACAAAGAAAACAAAAAAAAAAGTATCCTTTACACACTATCATTAAACTTTATGCAACTTACTTCTGCCAAAACCCATACAACTAATCAAAGAAATAGCCCCAAGCTCTGATTAGTGACAACACAACCAAGACGGATCAGACAAACCATAAAACCTACTTCAAATATAGCACAGAGGTAGAAAATGCAAAAGCAAATGTGCATGTGATTCTATGAAAGAATAATAAATCACACAAATATCACAAGACACAGCTTTGCTTCGTCTGACAAATTGCAACATATTATTAGTATTGATCCTATTGTGTACCACTATGCAAATGAAAATTGAAACCCTGCAAGGGAGCTTGTAGACTAGCAAAGAATCTTTTCAAGGAGGGATTTCTCTCTATCAAGAGAATAGGTGAAAATGGGACTTGAAAACAAACAATAATTCAAATTTACCATCCTCATTAGAAGAAAAATGGATAGGATCAATCAAAAGAAGGCCACATACGATTCAGAAGTTTTGATAATCGCGCTTCCTTAAAAAATGAAAGTTCCAAGGTAAGTTCAAACCTTGAGTATGGTAAAAAACTTAAATAGTTAGGACTGATGGAGAGAAAAATGATGATGGACACAAGAAAAAGCCTCTGCAAAGGGAAATATCACCCATCTAGAGAAGCTCCCAAAAATCAAAGACACAAAACATTATCCACTGTTCCATAGAATTAGTAGTACAAAAGATAAGAGATAAGAGACACAAACTTTTAACTTTTGTTCTTAAGGAGCATCTAGGGATTTTTGCATTATGAGGAGAGAGAGAGACAGAGAGAGAGAGAGAGACCAGCGTTAGGTGCAGTTGTTGCTGTTCTTATCTACTCATTCAGAGAGAGTACATAAGAGTCGTTTGGGCATATCTATCTCCAAACATGACATCTTCATGTTCCTAAGGAACAAGAGAAGATCATGACAATTCACCCTAAATGCCATTCTTTTCCAGCCAGAATCATGACAATTCAAGAAATTCTTGTGGATACATAGAGCACACCTTAGTTGGGAACCAATAGCAACAAGCAATTAAATCAAATGCCATCACTAAACATAAGTTCTTTGGGAGGATTTAAAAGTCTAAGACATCTCAGAGCCGTATACTTCTATATGGTGTTTAGTGCAGGTCAATGGATCTTATTGCTTCACCTTTCAGCCGTCACATATTTTTGGGGACAGATTTGTGTTTTGGGCTTCAATGTCAGTCATACATATCCTTGTTTATTTGGCCGGATGTCTACTTTTGGCTGTTTAAGGACAGCTTATCCTCCCTCAAAGTATTGCTTTTCTTTCTAATAAAGTCTTATTCTAACAAATGAAAATAAAAAAAAAAAATTACATTTAAATGAGTTTTTGAACTCCTGACTGAAGTTTTTTAGTTCATTGCATTCATAACATGATTATTCTGTTTTGTTAGAAATAATGTGGCATTTCCATTACGAAATTGAATTATACCTTCAATTGTTGAATGTCACTTATTAAAGCCCTTAAATAGTGTCGTACTTCATTAATTCAAGTCCTTCAGCATCCGTACGTAAGAACAACCTTAAGATGTCATCAATATTCAATACTTTCCTTAAATAGCAATCCCCCTAGTCTACCATCTTTATAAGATATATAAACTACAGTACGACAGTAATGCAAAATCAGAGATAATATATAAATTGTATAAATTAAAGTCATTACAACACGTAGAAACAAAAAAGGGAAGTGCCAAATATTGGATAGAGTGTGGTAATAAAAATTAAAACCGTATAGAAATCACTGGTAAAGTCACGGATTCGAATTCAGGAAATAACCTTTTTGCAAATATGCAAAGCTGGGCCTGTATGTAAGGATTGTCATCATCCCACCCTCGATAGTTGGGGTTTAATGGGAAGTGGTTAAATATTTATTCTAGACTAATAATAATATTTTTATTTTATAGAAGTAGAAGGTAGTCTATAATACAAAAAATGGTAAGCTGTCATCATTCCTCATATATGGATTGCCAAGACTAACCAAACTTTGAAGATGCAACATCACAAAATAAGGCCCCTATGCTTGTTTAAAGCAAACTAACATTATGAATAATATAACAGGCATTTATAGGTGCAATATTTTTGAGTGATTTTTCCTACTTTTTGTTGAGCAGCTGGTAAAAGATATTATTCTGGGTATTCCAAATATCACTTTGAAAAGACAAAACCGAACCCCCAGGAACAAAATAAATGCTAGAAAAATATAGGATATGTTAAATGTGGAGAATAGTTTTCAAATGAAAATAAGTTCCAACAAATATTCTCAATTAAATTTGTTTATCCAAAACAGCTCTTTTAGATTAAATGTTTTTCATATCAGTCTTCATAACAATGTGGTATAAAGCTTGGTTGTTGGCTTTCTTGCTGTTCTTGTTCATAATAGTGTATTAATAAGCAAAATAGTATATTACAGTAAACTATACAATAAGGTCGCACTATGAACTACAAAGTAAGAACTACCAACTTTTATATAGAACTATAGAGGTTAATAAACATAAATTCATTGAAATCAGGAATACTGACGCAGCAGATGAGTATGTTTGAAATTCACATACCTGAAGTCCACATCACCATGAAGCGATTCAACTGAAATGGGAGCTGCTGTGTTTGCACTGAGAATTTCTTTTGTTCGTTTAACTTGTTTCTTCAGTTTAGCCATAGCTTTGGGAAATCTCCTCACATCTATTCCATCACCAACTTGTGCATTGAACTCATTAGCAAAATACTCCACCAATCGCAATTCCATATTCTGACCACCTAACTCTGGGTTCCAACGTACGTCCTTAACCTACATGGATAATGAGCTAAGTGAGCAAGTTAAGAGGACTAAGATATGCAAAAATAAAAATGATAAAAGAACTATGTAAAGAAGGAACTTAATTGAGTTTAACATTAGCAGATACTACCATTAATAATTTGAAAGTAAAGGTTGTATTCAATTCGCTCATTTCATTACAAAAAAAAGAAAGAAAAATAAAGGTGGCAAATCCCGATGCACAAGGCTTCCCGACTTGAGAAAATGGGATGAGAGTCAATTGTATGCAGCCATACCCTTGTACTTTTGCAAAAAGTGTATTTCCCGTACTCGAACCCATGACCTTCCCATCCCAAATAGCAACCTTATCGCTGCTCCAAAGTTCACCCTCTATTACAGAGGAAGAAAGCCGTGATTTTTCCGTCACAAAGGAGCAACTTTACCACTACTTTAGCCCTCCCTCCTTTCACTTATTTCACTAAAAATATTGAAAATCAAGCATTTTATGTTTCAGGTTTTCTTGCCATTGTTAAATATTATTGTGAGGAAGCTTGGCAGATTTGGAGTAAGCTGTTTGGAGATTGCTGGACGGTGGATACACTTGAAAGAAAAGGGTATTTGAAATATTATTGAATTGTGTATTAATCTGACACAAAGAGGTCTCTATTTATAGAGACTAAAAAACCTAATTCTTGACCTAATGGGCTTGGCCCAATACAACAAATACTAATAATAATAAAAGACCTAATATTTACAACACTCCCCCTCAAGCTGAGGAATAGATATTTATCATTTCCAGCTTGCTAGTAAGTTCTTGAAATTTGTCTGAAGGAAGTCCCTTTGTCAATAGATCAGCTAATTGACGCCTAGTGGGAATGTATGGAGTGGTAATCAACCCGCTATCAAGTTTCTCTTGGATGAAATGGCGGTCGACCTCAATATGTTTAGTCCGATCATGTTGAACTGGATTAGGAGCTATACAAATAGCGGACTTATTATCACATAGCAGCTTCATAGGTCCCTCACATTTTATTTTGAGATCACAAGTACAATTTTCAGCCACAGTAACTCACAAATGCCTTGAGCCATAGCTCGAAATTCAGCTTTTGCACTTGATCTGGCAACCACATCTTGTTTCTTACTTCTCCATGTCACCAAGTTACCGCAAAGAAACATGCAATAACCAGTGGTAGAACGACGGTCAGTCACGGATCCAGCATAATCAGCATCAGTGTAGACTTCTAAAGAGAGATTACCATCACGTCGGAATAACAATCCTTTACCAGGAGTAGCTTTAAGATACTGAAGAATTCTCTCTACTGCCTGCATGTGTTTCTCCTTTGGATCGTGCATAAACTAACTGACAACACTAACAGCATAAGCTAGGTCTGGCCTAGTATGAGCCAGATATATCAATTTTCCAACTAGCCGTTGATATTGTCCTTTATCAACTGGAGGACTCTCCTCTTCAAAGCCTATCTTGTGATTCTGCTCAATAGGAGTATTAGAGGGTTTACACCCGAGCTTCCTTGCTTCTTTGAGAAGATCCAAAACATATTTCCTCTGACTGATAAAAATTCCTTTGCTTGAATGAGCTACTTCTATCCCTAGGAAATATCTCAATTTCCCAAGGTCTTTGACTTCGAACTCAGAGGCAAGTCGTGTCTGCAGAATCTGTCTCTCCACAAAATCATCACCTGTGATAATAATATCATCAACATATACAAGGAGCACAGTAAGCTTCCCATTTTGGGAGTACTTGAAGAAAAGAGTGTGATCTCCTTGACACTGTCTATATCCTAAGGTCATCATAACCTTAGTAAACCTTCCAAACCAAGCACGAGGTGACTGTTTCAATCCATACAAGGCCTTTTTTAATCGACAAACTTTATTTTCCCCCTTCACAGAATCAAAACCAGGCGGGATTTCCACGTAGACTTCTTCTTCTAACTCACCATTGAGGAAAGCATTTTTCACATCAAATTGATTTATATCCCAATTGTAATGGGCAGCAAGGGACAACAAGATTCTCACTGTATTCATCTTTGCAACTGAAGCAAAGGTTTCTTCATAATCAATGCCATAGGTTTGAGTGTAACCTTTGGCGACTAATCGAGCCTTGTATCTCTCAAGAGTGCCATCAGAATTATATTTCAGGGCATAAACTCATCTGCACCCTACTGCTTTATTTCCGTTGGGTCTATCAATAACCTCCCATGTTTTATTTTTCTCCAACGCATTCATCTCCTCTTGCATGGCTTGAGCCCAATTCCCATCTTTCAAAGCTTCATGTACTGATTTTGGGATTGAAGTAGAATCTAGTGCTAAAACAAAGCTTTTGTGCTGCACAGAAAGATTAGCAGAGGAAACAAAATGGGAGATAGGGTATTGAATACAAGAGGGACAGGAAGAACAAGTTTTCTTGGAACAAGATCTTTTTCCTTTTCTTAAAGCAATAGGTAAATCATCAGAAGCAGTAGTAATGGGTAAGTCATCAGAAGTATTAACATCATGATCAGAAATATGAGATTCAGGACTTACCAGTGGTTCAGACGATTGAGGTTGCTGTTGAGGCAATGTGGGTTGTTCAGACGATTCACGTGTTACAATCTTCCGTATCTCTGGTGTACTTGATGTATCAGTCATAGGAGGATCAGTCACAGGAGGATCAGACATAGACACATTAGGAACAGGAACAAGAGGAAGAGACACTGACACAGGTGAAGGAGTAGACACTGAAGATTCAAAGAAGGAAGGTGATGAGTCTTCTGGTGAATTATTCTCCCCCTGAAGATGAGGACCTTGGAAAAAGGACTCAGATTCCTGAAATGTAACATCCATAGAAACAAAAAATTTCCGACTTCCAGGATGATAGCACTTGTAGCCCTTCTTATCAGGAGCATATCCAAGGAAGACACATTTAAGAGCCCTAGGATCTAACTTACTGCGATGCTGTTTATGAATATGAACAAAGACAACACACCCAAACACTCGAGGAGGAAGACTTTGCAAAGTTGGAACAGAAGGAAAAAAAGAAGTCATGGAGTGAATAGAACTTACATGATCGAGAACCCGAGTGGGTAGACGATTGATCAAGAACGCTGCAGTAAGAATGGCATCTCCCCAATAGCATTTGGGTACATATGTTTGAAACAGTAAGGCACGAGCAACTTCAAGAAGGTGACGATTTTTCCTTTCAGCAACCCCATTTTGTTGAGGGGTGTCTACACAAGTAAGTTCATGAATCATACCTTGATTTTGTATAAATTGGGAAAAAGAGTGATTGACATATTCAGTACCATTATCTGTCCTTAGTCTTTTGATTTTTTTATAAAATTGAGTCTCAATCATTTTATAAAATTGAAAGAACAGTTGTGGTACCTCAGACTTTTCACGCATTAAGTAAACCCAAGTTACACGAGTGCAATCATCAATAAAAGAAACAAACCATTTATTTCCAGAAGAATGAGGGACCTTAGAAGGACCCCAAACATCAGAATGAATAAGATCAAAAGGTTCAACACTCTTAGTAATACTAGAAGGAAGAGACACACGATGATGCTTAGCAAATTCACAAACATCACAATGAAAAGACTCAACAGACTTAGACAAAAACAATGACGGAAATAAAGATTTGAGTAAACTAAATGGAGGATGACCCAAACGCTTATGATGCAGCCAAATTAAAGAATCAACAGTTGATTGACCATGAGACATGAAGGTGTGATCTGTTACTTTATTTGCGGGAGATTGTGACACCAGATAGTACAGCCCACCTTGCTCTTTAGCACTACCAATCGTCTTCCCCGTGGCGAGATCCTGAAAAACACAATGGGTAGGGAAGAAGGTTACAGTACAATTCAAATCTTTTGTAATTTTGTGAATAGAAAGAAGATTTGTGGAGAGTTTAGGAACATGAAGAACATCCTTAAGATGTAAGGACTGCTGTAAGTTTATGTGAGCCATCAGCTATGGATATTGTATGAGTTCCAATGGTAGGATGATAAGAAATAAAGGAGTCAGCACAACAAGTCATATGATCAGTAGCACCAGAATCAACAACCCAAGAATGTTTAAAATCATTACATGAAGAAATGAAAGAATGAGTTTTGGAGCTCATACCAGTCATAGCCAAAGCACTAGTATCAGATGGCTTACTCAGATAATCAAGAATGGTTTGGAGTCGTTCCAACTCATCTGGACGAAATGCAGATTGGGTCTCATTAGGTGCAGGGGTTATTTCAGAAGAAGTAAGATGCGCTTGACCACGCATCCTTGCCATCTTTTCTAAGACAGTTTGCTTTCCATAAAGGCGAAAGCATAAATCCTTGATATGACCTGTTCTTTTACAATAAGAACACCATCATCGATCATCTCTCTTAGGTCTAGAAGAGGTACCATCATAAAATTTTGAAAAAGAACTCCTTTGAGAAGAGGCCATACTGCACATAAAATGGTCAAAGAAAAGCTCCAAGAAGCCAAAAAATCACAAATAAATACCAAACGATGTCCGATCAAAGAGAGGAGCACAAATCCAGAAAGAGGATGAAGGGACGATCAAGATCGCGGTGGTCCGATCCGGAAAAATGGTCTCACGCGCCGCCACGCGCCGGTGAGACTGGCTGCGCGTGGGCTTCACTCGCGGTTGAAGGGGCGGCGCGTGCGGTGGCCGTCCGGTCTGAAATTTCTGGAGCAACGTCGTCCGGTGAGCGCGATTCTTTCTGGGTCTGTTTGGAGTTGAAAAACCACCGGGAAAGGGTCCAATCGTGATGAACAGATGCTGTCTTGTGATGAAGAATAATGGAGACGATGAACAGTAACAGAGATCCAGTATAACAGAGATCTTCTCGGTCCAATAAGTCCTCGGAAAAAATCCGGTGGCGGCTGATGGCAGCGAGAGACAAAAAGAATAAAAGGTTCTTGTTCTAAAGACAATAGGCGCGGAAGCAGAGCCCTCAGGATCGAGAGCTCTGATACCAACTTCAAAGAAAAGGGTATTTGAAATATTATTGAATTGTGTATTAATCTGATACAAAGAGGTCTCTGTTTATAGAGACTAAAAAACCTAATTCTTGACCTAATGGGCTTGGCTCAATACAACAAATACTAATAATAATAAAAGACCTAATATTTACAACAGATACTGCCAAATTTTGCTCAAGTACTATGTATTTAGCACGATTATAATTTCAGAATTTTTAGCCATAAAGTTCTTCCTCCTCGCCTTTTATGATGTATTTTCTCTTTTCTTCCTTTCCTCTGTTGTTTATTTTAGCCAGGATTCCTGGTCCCTCTATTTTGTACTTATTCCTTCCCTAACATATTCCTCTTTATATATATAAAAGTCTAGATTCAACGTTACAATTCGAAATTCAAATTAAAACTGCATAAATTAATATTTTTAACTTTCATTCAAATATTAGTGTATGCTTATTTGCTCATGGCCAGTTTTAATTACTAAATCAGGAAAGGACATAAAAACTGCAACTACTAATACCATATATATGAATACCAACCAATATCCTGTTCCAGTGTTGTAAACTATCAACAAGGCAATGTGAAACAAGATGAAACAAAACATATCATATCAAGTAACACTTACCTGAAACTGGTTCACTGACACTGTCTTTCCATACTCTTTACCTTTGTAGGCAGAGAAATACACAAGCGCAGCATAGGTACTGCTTGAACCCATGTCATAGAATATCACATGCCTTGACTCGTTTGAAAAGTCTTTGTCAATCCCATACTGCAACGCAGCACCAGAATGCTCATTTATCAATGAAAGAACATTAATCCCTGCCAACTGTGCTGCCTGCACCAATCCTCTTCGTTCAGCTTGCCCGAAATATGGCGGCACCGTTATCACTGCGTCTTTGATCGGAACCTTCGAATGGAACTCTGCTAAACTCACTGCGTGACTCAAAATCATAGCCACCAATTCCTCGGGCGAGTACTCGGCGCCGTTGTCATCCACAACAAAACTCGCCGCACCTCGCGAATCCTCCTTCACTTCGAAAGGCAAGTACATTGAATCCAAAAACCTCTTCGCAAAGTCGTAGGGTTTCCCTATCAATTCCCTCGCTTGTGAATACACTTTCTGAGGATACCGAGCAACCAGACCCGCGGCTTCTTCGCCGAGGAGCCGATCGCCGTCGTGGAACGACACCAGCGCCGGAGATTTCCGCTTCGACATCTCGTTGATCGCGACCGAAATCGGAATCTGACCGGGTTTTAGGTTCACCACCGCCACCTTGAGCGACTCGGACCCTAGATCTACGCTGAAGACCGCAGATTGCGAGGGAGAAAAGAGGAACACGAGAGACGACAGAATTATCGCCACCTTCGGGAGCAGCGACGCCATTCTTGATCGCATTGAAGTTCAAAACTTGAAAATTTGCTGTTTGGTCGCCGAGAAAATGATGGAAAATGTGTACGGGCACGCACAGGTGAGTGGTGACTGAGCGTGTTGATGTTCCGGCAAGTCGTGGTGGTTTTAATAGTAATATTAGTTCGAGTGTTTTCGTTTTTACTTTTTAGTAATGCTTTTGCGTGTGGAGTGACCGAGTGAGAGAGAGTTTAACCAGTGAGAAGACGACACGTGGCTGAAATGACACGTGGAGGAATATGAGATGGTGTGTGATGTTGTTCGTCGACTGTTCTGGAAAGTGGAAACTCATGCTGAAGGGGTCGGCTGACTAGCAAATTCTATGAATGACATTTTAAAAAAAAAAAAAAAAAAATCTATGAATGACCTGTTAGTATCAGAATACGGCTTTTCAATCAATATATACCACATTTAAAAAGAAAAAGGTGAATTATTCCTTCCTAAAGTATTTTTCAATTGAGAACAGTGCAAAATAATTTAATCTAATTGAATTGAATCGAATCGAATCAAATTGTATTATATTTTTTTAACCAATTTTTGTAAACCGAATTGATTTCATAAATAAGTCTGAATTTGAACCAAAAGATTTGGTTTGGAAAATTAGGAGAAACAAATTGATTTGTTTTAACTCAAACCGGTTCAGAATTTGTTTGAAACTAGTTCCAAACTGATTTGCATACTCAAATTGGCTTTGAACTGATTCAGTTGTAAATCGGTCGAATCAATTATGAAACATTCAAAAATATTTATAAAATGCAGATAAGTTATCTGCAAGTAAGTTCAATACGACATTGTTTTGAGGCGAAAATTATAATACTTTTATATAATTTTAATTTATTTCAGGATTATAATAGTCTTTATATTTATAATTTTTTAAGATTTCAATACCAAAACGATGTCGTTTTGGAAATAAATGCAGATAACTTATCTGCATTAACTGCAGAATCCCATTTATAAATTATAAATTGTTTTGAACCATGAATCCATTTAAACGGGTTCTGAACTAATTAGGAGAAAAAAATAGTTCAAACAAAATAAAAATATTCAAAATTATGTGATTATATTGTTTTGGAATTGAGAAAATTAATAAAGGATATTTTAATACATTTTTTTGTTATATAAATTTTGTCAAAACACCTTTCATTAATTTTTTAAACTCTCAAATGACATAATTTGTAAATTGCTAGAGATAATTTATCTCCTATAATGGAAAAACGATAAACCCCTTGTAAATACATTAAAAACCTTTCCAACACATAAATTAAAGGACTAGTGCATTACCAAAAAAAAAACAAAAAAATAGACTAGTGCAGACTACAATCGTGATTGTCTTGTTTGTATTATAATTTGCAAACTTACCCGATGTATTGAATTAGAATTTTAAAATATTTTTTAAGATAAAAAGTTTTATAGATTTTCAAAGATTATTCAAAATTAGAGGTACTTTAAAAAAATTAAAAAAAAATTTGCGATTAAGATTTTATAAAATTGGATTTGTAAGAATTTTAATATAATTTATAAGATTTGTAAGGACAATATGAATTTATAAGATATTAAAAAATCATATAAATTTTTAACAAATATTTAAAATTATGAGAGTCGATAAATCTAAATAACAAAGAAATACAATGATATTAATAAAAAAAGTAACACCTAATATAATTTTCTCAATCAATAAAATTCATGATAAAATTTCATTTGAAATTTTTTGCAATTGATTTTATAAACATTGGGGGATTTTGTTATACGTGATAAGAGTTTTCTAATCATATATCATATATATGTTTTCATTGAGTATTTCAAGAAAATTTTGAATCTGAATTTCTCGATTTTATCACATGAAAGTTTAGAAAATTTCTCAAATTATTTTTAATTGATGCATTGAAACTTTAAATTGCTTTGAGATTTTTGAAAAATAAGTTTTTAGTAATCTATTGACATAAAAATTGTTTGAAATCGTTTTATATAGCGAAGAAATTTCATTCATGAATGTATTGTTATGAAACATAAGGTTCATATTATGAAAGATTTAATCTCTCTTTAAATCGATCTTATTTAATTGGAGTAAAATGAAAATTGATTTGGAGATTTTTGTTCTCATGTAGTTTTTCTATTGTTTTATGTTGTTTTTAATACAAAAAATCACATATTTTTGTGTCAAGAAAAATTGCAACTAATAGCTTGAAAAATCATTTTTTAAACTTTCAAACACGCTCAAAAATCATTTTTGAGATGGATTAGATTAAAATTTTGTTGGGTTCAGTGTTGTAAAAGTCGGGTCGACCCGGGATCCGATGAACCGGTCATCAAACCGATTCAGGTCAAGCATTGAACCGTTCATGCATTGATCCGGTCAAAACCCGGGCAAACTCGGACAAAACCGGCCAAACCCGGTGACCTGGTCTAGTCATGCATTTAAAAAAAAAAAACAAAACAAAACAAAATTGTTTTATCTTGTAAGAAAAAAATGTAGAACTCATTTTAAAAACTTTTTGTTATTTTATTTGCTAGTATACTCTTCTACAATGACATCAAATTTCAGCTTCCAATACTGAAGTAATTTGCTGAATAATAAATTAAGAGAATGTGACATGTGTCATTTTAATGTAGTTGAATTGAGAAATATGAGTTCAATGTTTATGGAGATTATGAGTTGCAATTTAAATTGACATAGTAATAGCGTGCATTATTATTTATTTATGCTTCATGTTTTTGAGCATATTTAGTGAATTTTTTTAATTCATTTTAGATATGGAGAGTATAATTTAATTTACATATTCATATTTATATATATTTTTATATATTTATATATATTCAGATCAACCAGTCTAATCGGTGACCCACCGGTCAAACCAGTAACCCAGCGACCCAGTACCCCTACCGGGTCGATGCCCGGGTTGAGTTTAATAACACTGGTTTTTAGCATATTTTATGATGAAAATTGCTCAAAAATCTATTATTTTTGAGCTTTGACGAAACTCCCATTGTGAAACCCAGTTTTGAGCGGTTCGACCCGCCAAAGAAAGAAATTTTAAGAAATCCTAGAGGTTAGAGTGAGATTGTGAGAGATGCATCCTATTTATATTTCTCACTAAAAAGTCTCACGAAATTCACACCAATAGAAAATTCATTAAAATCGTCAAATTTTTGAATACCACAAGATTATTTTTCCTTTGTTTAAAATCCTAATTGAATACCAACGAATTTTGGATAGACTCTAAGGGGGTGTATTGGATTAAGATTTTAAAAAACTTTTTTAAGATAAAAAATCTTATAGATTTTAAAAGACTGTTTAGATTCGGAGGGACTCTAAAGACTTTTTTTACAATCAAGATTTCATAAGATTGGATTTTAAAGGATTTTAATAAAAGTTATAAGATTTAACAGGACAATTTGGATTTAAAAGATTTTAAAAAACTATATGAATTTTTAACAAACATTCAAAATTACAAGAGTCAATAAAAAAATAACAAAGCAATGCAATGAAATTAATAAAAAAAGTAAAACCTAATATAATTTTCTTAATCAGTAAAACATAATATAATTTTTAACAAACATTCAAAATTCCTAAGAAGTTGTTCACATATCTAAAGTTATACTAGTCCTCCATGCATTAACACTACAATAGAGAAATCTCAAGAAATCCTAGGGGTTAGGGTGAGATTGTGAGAGAAACATCCTATTATATATATATAACTTTTTTTGTTTATAAACTCTTACAACCAAATCTTAATCGTTGATTTCCGATACTCAATAAATTATAACAGTCTAATTGTCAAAAATCAACGATTAACATTTAATTGTAAGAGTTTGTAAGTAAAATTTTTTGTAAATATAGTCTTTCCTTTTTTCATATTGTAGAAGATAATACACATAAAAATATATGGAACGCATGTTTTAAACCCTTTAAATATAGATAAAAACTGGTAAAATAAGTTAGTGGACTTTTGATATAATCCCAAGCGATTGAAGGGAAAAAGATCAAAATAGTGCGAGTAATGTGTCTAAACTTCTAAGTGGGTGTTTGGTTGAGGAAAAAATGTCTGAATACTAGGGAAATATGATTACTAGGGATATGGTGGGAAAGTAAGTTTGGTAGGGAAATGTAAAAAAAAATTATTTGGTTGGAAAAAATTTACCGAAAAAATTAGATAAAATTTATAAGTTTATATTGGTTGAAGGTAAAATATTGATGGGAAAATGAATTACAATTACCAAAACAACCCTTATAAATATTTTGAATGTGAATTGTTGCTTTATGTTACAAGGGTACCATCGTTAGCAAGTTGTTGCTTTTTGTGGCATTTAGCCGGATAAGTTGAAAAACCACATCCGAAGTGGTAAAGTGGGGGGAGTCTTTTTGTTGCAATTTTACATGCAAATATGGATGGATGGGGAAATTACTTTTGTAGGAAAATATTATAATCAGTTGAACCAAACATGGTATAACTAGATCCCCAAACTCAAATGCTTATCTATCTCTTAAGATATCTCCAACCAAACACTACCTAAGAGAAATTTGATATTAACCACATTAATTTATAAAAACTAATACGCTCAACATTTATAATTAATGGCAAATTTTTTCGTTCTATCCCAAAATTTATAATGGATGCCTGGACTTTTGCATTAGGAGGAACTAGCAAAATTTCTAATTGACGAATTTGGAATGCAAGAAAAATCACACTTTAGAAGAGAAGACGTTACTGAGTGTGGGTCTTACAAAGTTACTCAATACGGGTCTTCCAAACTGCGTATTAGATACAAGACAAGCGTGCAAAAACAACATAAAAATGATGGGCTTGCAACTTCTTGCATGAGAAATTTAATCTTTCGTATTGAGAGAGAAATGAGTGAAACCTATCTTAAAAAAAAAAATAGAAAATAAAAAAGTTGCTGATACGAACATCAAAATGAGAGTAATAGGAGAAGAAACTTCTCATACAACATGAAATTTTTGTTTTCCCGAAATTGATATCATATGCCATTTGTTAGGGCTCTCAATATGCACTGATCCAAACCATTATAAAAGAATCATATTTTTTTGAACCGATTTAAGAACTAAACCATTTTCTTCATACCAGTTCATGAACCAAATTCTTTTTTCAAAACCAGTTTGATTCTCAAAGCGAATCACATTACCAATTCGTTCGGTTCAGTTCCAGCTAAAAATCAAACCATACCCACTTCTAACAATGTGAAAAAATCAAATGAACTAAATATCACATTTTTCTGAACTAATTCAAGAACAAAATCATTTTCTTCAAACCGATTTAAGAACCGAAATACTTTTTAAAACCAATTCAGTTTTTTCGAACCAAACCACATTTCCGTTTCGGTTCAGTATAGAAAACATAGCAACCGAACTGAACCATATATACCCTTAGTGGTTGTCTTCCATACACTGTCTATATAAGTATGAAAAGAAAAAAAAAAGTACTTACTCAAACAACACCCATTGCAAAAGTTTAAAACATGGGGAAATTGATTATAGTTCCTCTTTGGTTAGGTCAACCCCCCACCCAAGAAAAACAAAAAGAAAAGAGAAACAAATTTTACATTCTACTTGGCAGAAAACCAGAGCTGTACAATGAGAGTTTAGATAAATTCACTGGGAGTTTAGCTAAACATAAATTATGTTATCTATATCTGTACAAGGATGCTAATTGCTTAATATTGTGCATAAACTGTTGTTTGCTCCTGAAGGGGACAGGGACTAGTGACTGACTTGAGCTCATAATGTAAAACGACAATAAGTTGGTAAAAGAAACTTTTTACCCATTATAAAGTCAGTTCTTCGTATGATTTCATAATCTGCAATCTGCCTAGAAGAGCCAATACTTTTTTCTCGGTACTCTAGAAGGAACATCTGTAAATTCATTGAATGAATAAAAGATAAGCTTATTTTTTATAGCACTATATATTGAAGCAATAAAAAGAAGATAGAGGTCGCAAGAAGAAAAATTCATTTGAAAGTTATCAGGTACATCACCTCCGCTTGAGTACAATGAGTTATAGTGCACTTCACTCCAAAAGCTTAGCCATAGCTCTACAATTCAAAAGAGAATCATAATCACATAATAACTCAAAAAGAAATATAAAGCTGGAGAAGTTAGCAATACACTGAAAGCTAAGGATGAAACTTTTTTATTGTGTTTTGACTTATATGACAATCATTAAGGAACCAATTCATCGAATAGCTAAGCTATTTGAAAGTACAAGAATGATTTTAATTTAAGATCTCTAAAAGCCTTTTGAGATAAACGCCAATATTAATTTAATCATTATGAGAATAATAGAAATGGTGAGGACTGCCTTACCACTTTATCAAATTGGCTTTGGTAAAATGTAACTTGAACTAATAGGAGAATGTTGAAGAATGGTTTTAATTTAGATCTTACAATAATAATTCAAAGTTACAGCACCATTATTTAATGGAATCATTCACATTAATTTTTTTATTTTCCTTTTCAATTTTGCTGTTGACCCTTTTGTCAAGATGGAAAATTCGTTGCCGACCATTTTCACTAATTGCGAAACCTCTCCTTCACAGGCAACATAATCATTAACAACCTTAAGGCTCCCAATATAGCAGCTAAAAACGACTGCAGTGTGCACTTTTATAGTAGTCAACCTCAATGGAATTCATTGCGCACTACTAACTAACAGAATAATTTACTAAGAGAATTTTCATTCTGTCTCCAGGGAGAAAGAAAATGTTATATTAGTCAACAGACTCTTAAACATTGACATTAAAATATAGACAACGGAAGTGCCAAAGGAGAATTTCAAATAAGGACAAACAAAACAAACTGTTAAACAAAGCAACATTAATAATACTTGCCTCTAGTGGGACTTTTGTCAGTTGGAAGGATCTCAATATAGCAAGTGTCTCTGAAAGAGGTGACTAAACAAATTTTGGCGTCAAACTGAAGAAAAAGAGTAGTCAGAAATCAACATTAACAATAAACAGAGAGGAAATCTAAGCATGGAAACGTTAAATAAATAAATATAGAAATTAAAGATAGCAGAATAGAAAGTAAACACAAAATGAGCACCCTAAAAAAAATTAATCAGAGAAAAAGTGGAAAATTACAAGCAGCAAGGAAGATAAGATATTGTTACTATCCATGAGGAGAACCCAACCCAATGGACAAGCATTATTGAGTGGGGGAGCATGATGGTTTAAGTACCACATTGAGCTTTCTAATTTACTCCTCAAGCATGCAACATGACAGTGCCACCCCTTTAAGAATTAACACCCAAGGCGACTTCACACTATCAACAATGACCTAGTGGTAGTCCTTTCTCTTTCGGTGGCTTCACTCATCTAACAGTATTTGGTAGAATAACCCTGTGAGGATACTACACCTTAATCCAGCCTATAAATAGTCCTCTCCATTGCTCAACTCTCAATGAAAGCTTATGAGGAGAACCTAAACCAAAAGACTAGCCTTATTGGGAGGGAGAGCCTCATGGCTTAAATACCACACTGAGCTTCCTCGTGTACTCAAGCAATCTCCTCAACCTTGGTTTGGATGATATAGCTTTGTTGTCTTACAGTTTGGTATGACTCAGGATCACATAAGCAATCCATACTATAGAACTGTGTCCAAAATAGGATCACAGATTTTCTATAAGCATCCATTGAGAACACACAAACATTTATATTAAATGACATCCAACACAAAATTCATACTAACTGATGTCAAGACTGTTCTTACATTACTTATTTTTTCTAATTAAATGTATATATACAAAGATGAAAGAGAAAAGAACTACACCATCCTCAGGTCATTTGGATTATTTTTTATTTTTTTATTATAATAAGAAAACAGGGAAAATCCTTTAATACAAATGCCCTAATATTTCCCACTTTAAACAATGAATGGCGAATAGGCTGATAGCATATATGTAAGTATATAATGGTTCAGTGTCCTCTTATTTGCACAACATAGTCCTTAGAGTGACAACAAATAAGTAAAAAGGAAGAAAAAAAAAAGGATGAAAATTGTAAAAATTTTAGATAAAGCAGAGATTTATAGAATTTATATGACATACGCGGTCTGCAGCTGCTTGTAGAGTAACATGATCTCCCCACTCCCCTGATCTATTGGCAGACAACATGCAAATATTGAATTAGTGTTTACTCTCAGCACTACATGCTCTCTAATTTTGTAGAAATCAAAGCAAAATTGATCAGCAGTGATATCTAACTTTTTCATCTTCTTCAGGTAGCTTTTGTACTTCATTGGTACATGACCTTCGTATAACTTTTTGTGATGCTTTAGCTGGGAAAAACCAAAGAAGCCAACAAAGAAAAGATAAATATGAATATAAATATTAGTTAAGAAACAGGCTTTAACTTCTTTCACTCAGAAAACAGAATTCAGAATACTATTACAACAATGTCCAATGGCCAATACACACAAATAACATGAACATCAATATCAATATCAACACCACCTTTACCCCAAACTAGTTGGGGTTTGCAGTCCATGAACCTAAATAACAAGCAAGAAAAGATTGAGGAAAAAGAAGAGAAAGACAAATAAATAATAATAATAATAACAAATTAGTAAATACTAAAATAAAAATAAGAGAGAAAAATAAACAAGAGAATAAATAAATAAGAGGGAAAATAAGCAGGAGGAAAAAAGGTAAATTAGGGAGGAAGATAAACACATATTTCCCATAAATAAATATAGGGAACAAGGACTAAATAAATAAATAAATAAATATACACAAAAAACATGAAGTAAAGTAAAGAAAAGGGCGAGGATCATACAATTTCAATGAAATATTTCAAAATAGCCAAAGAAGTAAATGCACTAGAAGGGCTCTATAGCAATCACACCTGCTTGATAACCTGCCTCCTTACATGCTTGTGGTAATCAGGATTGCGGAACAACTGATCTGCTAAAGCTCGAAACTGTCCAGTAAGATTTCACATATATTAGACAGACTATATCAAAGGAAAAGGAATATATAACAAAAATATCAAATAACAGGGAAAATGTAAGCTGGCATATAAGGGTTTTTTTTTCTCAACAAAAAGGGAAAAACCTGGCAATTCCCATCACCCTCCATCTGTAGTTCTGCCAAACCATATGTAGCTAACCTGTAGAAAATTGCGGAGCATAATTATTAAGTAAAACAAAATACCTCATGCATAAAAAGCAAATAAATATTTTGGTTCACATCAACTATGATCCCTCCCATGCTTCTAAACTGTCATGACTGACATAATTACAACTTTCTATAGCACAAAATTCTCAGTCAAGTTATAACTTGATTTTACATTAGGCTTCCAATTTTAAAAAATGTGAACAGAAATGAAAGAACCTCATGGAAATTCAAAACAAAAGAGGTATGCTAAAAATCTCAAAAATTATTATTTGTCACCCTCCTTTTCATTTCAATATGTGAAGTCTACAAACAGGGTAATATTAAATTTTATTCAAAAGGCAGACAAAAATGTAAAAATAAAACAGTTAATTGGTGTAGTAATAAAACAAAAATAACTGTCTATCAAGCTAGTGTATGCAACCTTTCGGACAGCCTCTCATGGTCTAGTGTTGCATCATTGACATCAGGAATCTCTCCATTAATACGGGGAGTGTGCTGCGAACATATTAAATTAGTATTCTCATCCCAATGCAGTTAACAATATACAAATAGCAGGGAAAACAGAACAAAGGATTGGTTAGAGTAGTTAGCAATGAAAATTTGTATAGGTAGAGTGATTACATGAAAATTTTGAAACTTGAAAGCCTGAGAGGTATAATTAATGCATTTATAGTACAAGTATTTTAGGACATTAGCTGGGAACACCCAAATGAAAATTGATATATAAAGCTTTGGCGACTGTGATGGGTTTTTTAAGTTTAAAGTTTCAGTACGTTTTCTATTGAATAAAAGAGCTCCCTAATTCTTCATTACAAAACAATAGGTTTTGAGATGCCTAAGCAATTAGGAGAAGTCCAGTATTTAAACTGTATATGTGGGACTCCCTTCAACGCAGTTCTCATAATAAAGGACATCGTTTCAATTTCATTTTTGAGTTTGGTCATGGGTTAGAACAATTAAGTTGCAGCATTCTATCTTTAACCATTATTCTAATGTATGCTTCTGACACGAATCTTGGGAGAACCTCATCCCAAAAGCTAGCTCCTGAGGTAGGAAAGCCAAAGCCATATAAACCCCATACCAAAACCTTATGTTTCTAATGTAGGACTCAAAGTCCCATACCTTAAAGTAGGATAGTAACGGCTTCATAAATATTTTCCACAGAAAAACCAACCATTGCATACCCTGAAGTTAAATTTTAGTTAGGCAAACTGGCAAACCCTGCTTAGAAAAAAAAAATTCTGGAGAAGTTGAACAAATTAGAAGTTTCAAAAATTTGAAATTTTCCTTGGATGAGGGGATGCAGTGATTCGAAATGGAGTTGGAGAATGACAATAGCAGTACTTTAGTAGGTGCAAGGGGAAAGGAAAATAAGGGGTTATAAAACTTATAATTATGTAAGAGTTGCTTGTTCTTGATGATGAAGACTTTAAAGGAATTATTGTTAAGGGTTTTGTTAATGTGTACCCTTAGGGCACATGTTATGGATTAAAAATAGCATCTATTACTCATCCTAATTACTTAAAGAAAAAACTAATTACTGCTTTTTGTATTTTCAATATATTAAATAATTGCGCTTTTCATTTGATAGTTTCTATTTTTGATTCCTTGATATGTGCCCTTAGGGCTTATTTGTTAATACTTCATCATTCGTTTTATGGGTTTCGGAAGAATGGAAGAAGGGAATCATTTCATCTACAATTGTAGCAATTTAATGCATCTTGAACCATTTCCTCACTACTGGGCAGCATTGGAATTGTCTTTTCAACTTTTTAAGGAGCTCATTCTTTGGTGATTTTAGGAGGGTTCCTCAGAAGGGATCAAGAGAGAAGTGAACCTTTTTATCTTTCCATTTTCTTCTTCCACGCTAACTTCAAGAAAGGTTTCTAATTCTCCATCTTGTACTTGCACTATATCTTCTAATATAACATATTCTTAACAACAGAATAGGAACAAGGGTTTTAGAAGGTTGACTAGTACACTAAACAAAAATAGTTGAAAGGTGAAGTTACAGATCCAAAATACAAGGGCTTCACCTTATTTACTTATTCTACAAAAGTACAGTTAGGAGCATCTCCAATTCCAGGAGTGAAGATTGAGTTTAGTATTCCTTCAAGTAGTTTCTAAAGTGGTATTCAGTTCATGGCATGTTTTGCAACCGATGAGTAACTCTCGCATGTTAAGGGTCACAAAGTTAGTTTGTTTCTAGCATTTGCTTATAGACCAAACCCCAACCAGAACACAATTCATGTCTCCTTCCTAGCATGGTTCATGTTAACATTTGGTTTGTGTTGTTAAAGCATCTATTATCTTCTAAATTTGATAAGGCTTTGTTTATTAGTTTTTTTTTTTTTTTTTTAATTTATATTTTCATGATTAAGAAAACAAACATGAAAGCATGATTCATACCGGAATTGAATCCAAATGGGAAAGTCGTTTCCCAAGCATGTTGTTTGAATTGTGATTTTCCTCTTCTGCTAATATGTTTGCAATAGTTTGATCATCCTCTGTATCCTGAATGCTGCTGTTCAAACTTGAACTAGAGCTCCCACTTGCATTTCTCATGATCTCATTCATTTTTTCACAACCCAACTAATAAGTAACCTAGAAATCAAGAAAAATAAAATAAAATAAAAATTGAATAATAAATAAATGGTTTATAATATAATTCACTGCACGCACACAAGAAAAAAAGAAAGAGAATAAATTAATTTTGATAAAGAACCCAAGTATTCAGATGTTCATCTAATTATGTAACAATTTCTTCACGAAGTTAAGCCCAAATCAGCCCAAAATCTCAATTATTGAAAATAAATAAAATAAGAGTAAAATTGAAAGTTGAAGAAAAACACAAAAAAATTCCTGTGGAGCCAAGCCAAAGCAAATCAAAGCATACCTATGGATACAGAAAACTTGAGTTGCTTTGAAATAATCACGTGCTTCTCAGATAAGATAAGCTCTATGGTTAAACAATTACTTTGGTTCCTTAGAATATAATGGTAGATACCAAACCAAACCGAGAAAAGTAATAATTAATGGGAGAGGAATCGAAGTTCGAACTTAGAAGAGAAGAAATGTTGAATAGAAGAAGTAAAGAAAAGTAGGCGTAGGAGGGAAACGGTTCGTTTTGGGAAAGTTTCAGAGTGTTGGAAAAGAAAAGCCAACACGGTTGCGTTATTATTATGATATGCTCTAGCCATCGGGTCTATTTGACCAGTGTTGCGTCATGTTTTGTCAACAGAAACAAGGCATACAAATTTAGAGAACAAATACAGTGAATTGTTTTTTTATCAGTGACATGATGTAAGTGTTGTTTACAACTCTTATATCAAAAGAGAGAGAAAGTGAAATGATGAAAGATAAAAAAAAATGTGGACTCCAACCGCTTTAATGTGTGTGTAGGAAGTGAAGTTATATTATGTTAAATGATAAACATAAAACCCTTTTTTTTATACATCGCGAAGTTGAACGTATAAAATAGGGTTTGTTTTTTCTGATGTTACTTTAGATAATTTTATATAATATTTATCAAAATGACTTCGTTTTGAGACGAAAATCATAGTATTTTTATAATTTTAATTTATTTCAGAATTATAATAGTTTTTATCACTCTAATTTTTTAATTTTTCAATCTCAAAACGACGTCGTTTCGATGAACATTAGATAAAGTTATCTAAAGTAACATCGGAAACTTTTTTTCTTATAATATATTATATAACTATCCACATCCTTCGTCACAATATATTATATAACTATCCACACCCAAAATTATTACGTCAATCATAGTGGCTTAAATATAATGAATTATCCACATTTCGACGTGAGTTCAAACCTTTAATTAATGTGAGAATTTTATTGATAACTGATATGTAATTTTTTTCCAAATTTTTTTAAAAAAATTGAAAAATCATCTTAATGACATACCGATGTCTTACCACCTCACTTAAAAAACAGAGACGACAATTCGGACTTGCCTTGATCAATTATTTAAAAAAACATTTTAATTATAAACTTATTTCTAGATACTTAAATATCACAAAAGGAGCATCTATATCTTCATTTTTATAATAAGTATATTGAACAAGTGTCAAGTGTAATATAAAATTATGATGCGAGAACTTATTTGTTTGTTAAAATGAAGACTATTGTGAATGAAAAATGAGAATGGGAAAAACGTGAATAAGAAAACAAAATGTAACCAGTTCATTCTCAATTTCTAGAATCTCTATCATCACCACTTCAAAAGAAAATGATATCCTAAGAATAAAATCGTTTTGAACTTTTCTTCAACAACTTAATATATTTCACAAATTAACTGGAAGAAAGAAACACGTTCGCTTTTGAAAACACTTACATAAATTATTACTTTGTATCTATTTTAGTTATTCTGCAAAAAGAAAAATAAAAGTATCTTTTAGCTACAAAGTCAAGGATGAGTTTATAAAACTCGATGAAAAAGAACGTATACTTTAAATTTGGGCCGAAAATGCTATAGACGCATTGGATAAAAAACATAACTTTTGTATGGAATGGGCTTAGAGTGCAGCCGAACTTAGCCTCCAAAGGATAACCCAACTCAATAGAGATCCTCACCTGAGCAATACCTCATTGCAATGTTAATCCAGCAGAGGAAATCAATCCTAGCCAAAAACCGGAAAAAGAGTTCATATGATTACTCAGTTTCTGATTTTTCCTTGAGGTAGTGTTTGGTTGGGGAGATGTTAAAATTTTGGTGGGTAAGTGCATGTGGAAATCTGACTCAACCACGTTTGGTTGAAGCTTTTTGGAAAATTTCCCTAGCAAACAGGTTTCCCCAGCAATGCAAGAAGAAGTGCAAAAATTGGATATTGACACTGTTGAAGAATCCATTTCAACAGGTGGTATTGGTTGAGCGTATCGGATAAGTGAAAATGGTTGAAAATGGCATGACAAATATACCCCCTCTTTCTTAACCACACGTTGAAAATGGCACGTCAGCACTGAACTGGTTTGGTTCATCAGAAATGTTAAAGAACCCAAAGGCAAAATCACCATTGGAGGAAACCCAACAGTTATTGTCAACCACAAAAAGTTTGGAACCCAAAGGTATTAGAGCTGTCCCAACAGGAATGTTCAACTTGAATGGATCAAATCTCACGACCCAAATCGAAATTTTCTTCCTTTTTTATTTAGTTGAAACTTTTCATAGAACCAAACAACTTAGTTGAAAAGGGACTGGATTTAAAAGAGAAGAGAGTGAGTTGAACAGTGAGGAATGAACAACACAATTGTTAAGTGGATGATTGGTTGGGAAAGGACGTGAAGTTGAAGAGTATGAGTAACTAAAAGGTTTGGGTGGAAGTGAGTGAAAATGGGGTTGCTTTGAGGATGCTGCAAGTAGCAATTCAAAGAAGAAAGCGAGTGAAAATGTCTAATTTTATAAAAAGGGTAATTTCGTCTTTTGCATTTTTTTTCCCATCACAATTTTATTTTCAACCAAACACACATCAGGATTTTTAACCCAATTTTCTTAGTAATATTTTGCGCTACCAAACAACTTTTTTTAAACTTTCCTACCAAACTAACTTTCCAACGTCTTTCCTAGTAAAGACAAAATTACCCACTTTAAAAAAATTTCTCCTCAACCAAACACTACCTGATTAGCTAAGTGGATCGACTAAGCAGCAATTTTCATTTCTACGTTCAAGCAACACACTAAACAATAACGTGAAGTTTGTCAAAATTACCAATCAGCTTTTGAGGAACAATCAGAGCATGAGGACATGGTTCTTTGACAGCAAAACCAAGCACAAAAGGCTTAATGAATCTATTTTAACATGCTGAGATAGTTCACACAGCATGCTTTAGGTACCAAAAAAAAATATATGGACTTTGTCATAAGTTTCAATCTACCATAACTTCTAAATTAATAAACATTACAACCCATCATTAAAGTTAAAACCCAAACGCTTCTAAATAATAAACATTACAACCCTTCATAAAAGTTAAAACTCAAACGCACGCGCTTTTACTATATACTCACATGCTTGAGTTTGTGTTGTAATAGAATATCATATAATTAAAATAGAGTTAAGAGAAAATAAGAACCTATAGAGGACTTTTTGACCCTTTTGCTCCTAATTAAATAATTAATTACCAATTTGCCCCTCCCCAGAACTTTCCACCATCATGCCCTCATTTAGTCGATTAAGTTGCACTTTTAATCGACTAAATGGGCTAAACTCAGAAATCATGAATCGCGAATTTTAGTCGACTAAAAACTCACCTTAATCGACTACATTGTTTGCACTTTTAGTCGACTAAGCACATTATTTAGTCGACTAAATGTCGCAGATCAGGTTTTTTAAAAACCCCCCATTTCGCAAAGGGGGTTATTTTCAAACCCTAATCGACTAAATCGCTCAATTCCGTCCCCTCTCTCCAACCAAGTCTGAATCTCAACCCTTGAAGGTGCGATTGAAGCTTCCTTGGTTCACACTTGCGAAATCGACATTTAGGTAACGTATTCTGACTTGCATTTGGTTTTAAGTTTAGTTTTTTTTTGTTTTCTCCATGCATTTGATTTCTGTTTGCGGTTTTGTGGATTTAGGTTAGGGGTAGGGTGCTAAGTTTGTTGTGAGAGTGAGGGTTAGGGTTGATGTGGTGCCTTAGGCTTAGGGTTAGGGTTATGGTAGTGGTAGTGGTAGGGTTAGGGTTTATGTTGCTGTTTTATTTGGGTTGTAGTGTTAGGGCAAGGAATGGGTTTTTGTGATGTGTTAGGGTTAGGGTTAGGGTTAGGGTTTCTGTTTTAGGGTTAGGGTTTTTGTTTTCTGTTTTATTTTAAGATTAGGTTTTGTTTTTTATATTGAATTTTAAATTTTTTGATATTGTTATTGTTCATTGATTTTTGTTTCCACTTGCATTGTAGGTACAGTTGTTCCATGGCTAGCCGTAGAAGATCGTCTAGCACTGGAAATGAGAGGCGACAGAAGCTACGACAAGACCGTCTGTCTTCGTCAAGGCCACAAGAGGAAGACCCCGCTGCTGTCGACCTCCCATTTGGATACTTGTTCGAGAATGACCCGGTGGTTCATGAATCTTTTGTCCGTGACTTTGTTAACCGACCGATTTGTGGGGCCAAATCACTTGATACAACCTTTTTTGAATAAGAAGGTTTTAACATTGTGAGGTGGTTGGAGGAATCACATCTTAGGACCTTGGCTGAACTGTCGTGTTCATATTCTGAGCTGCATGTACGGGCCTTCTACCATAACCTCAGTTACCATCAGGGTGAGCTGAGGTCTAGGGTCTGCGGGGTGGAGATCATCATGACGGCTCCGGTATGGTTGGAGTTACTGGGGTATGACTTTGATTCTGCGCAGACTGTGGAATATGACGCAGACAGCGGGACCATACTTCCAGGATATACACGCGGTGATGCCGTGCAGGAGCAGAGAAGAGCCCGTGGGCAACACATTGCCTATACGGTGGGGTTGCTTACTGTGGAGTCCCGCATACTACACTATGTCATCACCCACATTCTGTTTCCGCGAGCGTTCAATCATTCCAGGGTGTTGGAGCATGACATTCCCATCATGTGGGCTATACGACATGGTACTTCGGTGAACTGGAGGCACTACATCTGTTGGATGATGTATAAGGCCAAACACAAGGGTGCACTTCCATTTGCTTGTCTTGTTCAGAGGATATTGGAGCATTTTGATGTTCCCATGGGTAATGTGACCTTGAAGAAGACCACAGGGTATAATCATAAGTTTGGAAAATGTCTACTGGAGCAGTGCAAGATGACAAAGAACCCCCAAACAGGAGTGTGGCAGTTCACAGGTGCGGCTGATGTTAAGGTTCCTGATGTTGCTCCAGTTGTAGACATGGTTGAGCCCGAGGTGGAGGATGATGATGACGATGATGATGAGGGTGACCAGCAGGAGATAGCTGAGCCCGAGGGTGGGTTTTCAATACGTGATGTCATGAAGGGCATAAACGCCACGCTGAAGAAAATAGGAAAAATGGCGCTGAAACACAAAAAATGGAGGAAGAGTCACGTGCAGAAGGGAAATGAAAGATTTAGACATATACAGGGACGGTTCAAGGGTGTTGAAGATAGGCTTGCTCGTCTAGAGCTTGGACGAGGAC